TGAAATTCTAGCTGCTATCGTTTGGTTGAGCGGGATTGATGGAATTCGAAGAAAGTTTTTCCTCGAAAAAGTTGTGTGTGGATTACTGACGAAAGGTATGGAGTAATGCCCATTTGCGAGAATCACAGCATCAAAATCGTCTTGCCACCAAATATCTGTATGTAGAACTGGATCATGTTTTCTCAAAGTCAGCGTCCAACGTTCTCTTTTGGTTTCCGTACTTCTTATCAAGGAAACATCCTCGACAGTAGTATTGAGATTGAGTAGAGCATCTGTTTTGTGAGAAGAAAAATAAGATTCGATATATTGTTTCGGAACGTGATGCGGCACAAATGGTCCATAAGGAAATGGCTTGTCCGAAAATGACATGGCAATAGATGGTACGTTCTGGCAAAGATGTGTCAGCTCAACCTGTTATGATTGAGAAGGAACCATTTACGTCAAAGAAGAATATATCGGTGTTTTGGTAAATCTTTCCTGTTCATTCGGGGATGTGATCTTTGGTAGATTATTCGGGATCTCGAGAGGCGGATCTGAATCTGGTGGTAGACTCCCGGGGCGGATGGGCAGATCGTGTGGGGGTGATTGATCGTAGATCCTTGGTAAATGAGTTAGCAGATGTGAAGTGTGTGAGATTATCAACAATACCATGTCCCTCCAGCACATTCTCGACGCTCAAATACTGTAATCTTTTCAAAATTGTGCTCCGCTGAAAAGGCCGCTGCTGTAACAGCTCCTGTACTTGATCAGCAACGAAGACTTTGCTGGATGCCAAGAAATTCTAATCACCTGCAGCACCGGCTCCGATAATTGCTACCGACGTTATTTTGTTACTTTCAGTCAGTTGCGTAAAGCTGAATCTCTGAATTCTAAGGATTCGTTATGATATTTTTCCTCAAGTTTTCAAGATGACCTAGAGGAAGAAAAACGAACAACCGTGGTGTCTGAGGCTAAACTAAGCATAAAATAAGCGAGACGAGTGATCCGGGCGCAATAACCCCCTTTTTTATAGATATCGTGGAACGAGATATTGTTGTTCTTTAGACTGAAGAGATGGCTCCACAGGGAAGGTTGCATGCTTGGTAATGATAAATGAGGGGAACACAAATTCGTCATACTAGTGATTATTTCGCAATACATATGTCACGTGGAGCTTGGAAGTATAACATACGCATCGGTAATGGAAGGAGATCAGGGAAGCACCATTTCATCTTTATTGCGAGACTTTTATTTCATTTTCTGCAGGTAATTATCATATAAAAAACCAGGCATTGGTTAGCCAGGAACCAACCCTCACCACCACTCAAAAAACAATCTCTTTAAATGAAGAAGTCCTCCCATACTCCCGGATATTGCAGCGGCTTTTTCCACCAGCAAAATGATATTTAGCGATTCTTGAAGTTTCTCTAGGGTTCTGCCACACGCTCCAACTTCAAATTCCTGTCGAAACCTCTCAGCTCTTAGGTTCGCCTCGCTCGAAACCTCAGTACGACTCCCCCACTTTCGCGAATCTGCTCGAAGCGGCTTCGATGTTCTTTCCTGTAAGCTCAGCCACGAATTCACTTCATGTCTCAGAGCAGATTTCTGCTCTTTCATTCTTCTGATGACACGAGAAAGTCTCGCTTCCTTCTCAAGAAGTTCGAGTTCAAGAATGTGCTTTTCAGAGAGAACCACAAGCCTTGTGAACCGAATATTGATGTAGTAGAGAACCTCGTCTTTCTTTTCGAATTTTGAGGTTTGAATTTGGCGTTCTAAGCAGTCTAGCATGAGGCACAGCTCTCTCAATTTGAGGAGCTCCGAATCAAGCTCTTTCTTGCGATCGATGGCAGGAGTGGTGGACATTGTCGTTATTTTTCCTGACGAGTCATGCGATGCGAAACGTACTCTTTTCTTTTTCTTTTTGGTGTCAGACTTAATTGGACGCGCTTGGGGGCCATCTGATCTATGCTTGAGCTCTGATTCGATACAGAGCATATTCTCGTCATGTTTCTGTCTGTATTTGCATAAAACACCCTCAAGGTCTCGCACGCGAAAGAGATACTGTGAGGGATACGCCATGATGAAAGCTGCAATAATTATGGGAAGATTCTCCAAGCAGGTGTGCAATTACAGTACCAATATTCAGAAGAATCTTCACTCGCTTAGTATTGGTAGATGAATTCATGAAAGAGAAGTTCTAGTTTGGGAAGGTTTCCGATTCTTTATATTCGGTTGCACTATCATCATTTCATGAATGGTTAAAAACAAGAGTGATTGTTTTGGCTTTCTGAGAGTCACAAGATGGCTTACATGAGCATTTTGTGTTCATTCTGGCTTAGAGCCACTTCAAGTTTGTCGCCATGTGAATCACAAGTGTCCTAAAAGGGTTCAAATCATTATTCCAACAGTCATCAAAACATAAATTAGAAAAATACAAAATTGGTATTGTTGGGGTTGTCATGGTTTTTTTCCCACCTTACTTTGCCAGTAAACTTGACACAGAAGAGAGATAGGTTGGTCGACAGATGCTCAACCATCATTTATTTGAAATTTTCAGCCACGCTCTATCCTTGGTCGCCAGATAGTTCATGAAGCGCATTACTGTCAAGCTCAGCAGGAACATCGGCTTGTAACTCAGTGGAAAGCTCAGAAGGATATTTGCAGGCAAATCCACGAGCGATGTCCGGATTGAGGTTGAAGTTTGTGATTGGAACAGGGTCGGGATTGAGGCCGAGTTCTGGAACTCGCCATCTGATTTCTTAGTCTCTTCCCTCGAAGGTTGGACTTTGTCAAACTGGAGGTTCTCTTTCAGGGCGGATTCGAGGAGATCGGTGAGCGGTCTTTTCGGGTCTCCTTCCATTTTCGAAATGGTTACGTTCTTCTTATGGTCTGCGTTGCGGAATATTTTTGCGAACCATTCCTCTCTTCTTTGTGCTGCACGGTCGGCAAAATGTACACTTCGAGCATACATAGCGTTTAGCTTCTTAGTGTAGGGATGGTCGCTTTGCTTCGTGGTGATAGCTTCTGCTTTGACGTTCTTGTTACCCAAATTTGGCGCGCTAAGCCTTTCAATAGCCTTCCTATTGATGGCTTCAGTCCTCGGAGTGAGCGGAACTTGAATGAGCTCAATCATCTTATTTTTCGGCTCGGGCGGAGCACATATCTGGCGAACTGGGATGTGGAAATCTTCGAGGCTCTTAAAGGTGGACATTGTGGTCGAACGAGAGAACATAGAAAAGAGACGTAGCTCCTGGTTATGGTAGTATCACGATTGTATATGGTGCATCTTGACGTGCATGTTTAATATACACACGCTGCGCTTACGATTACATTCGCAACTCCTTTTGAGATACATATTAACTCACGCACTTAATTCGATTCCTGGACCAGTTAATCATGAATACCCTCCACAATCATTGAAATAAGTGGTCTGTGATTCTTCCTCATAGCTCGAAACAACCCCTTGGTGACTGGTCATATGAGTCTTGAAGAATGTTCGTCTGGATGGCGTGTGTCGGCGGTGGCGCCACATGTATCCCGATGGATAAGCTGGGTGGCGGACATCTCTGGACTCTGGTCTAACTGGTATGTTAGGATGCTTGTTTGTCATAAACCCAGGTCAGATTGATGGTGGATTGGATTTCTTTTTGGCACTTTTTGCAGCTTTTTATGTAAGCTTAAATGTTTGGCTTTTTTTTGGAGTTTTACTATACTACTGCACTACCACTTTTAATTTCTTATAGTGAATAGCTACAACATGTTATCCTATTCCGCTCGTGAAAGACGATAGCCAGCATGCGAATTTTGTTTTGAGCTCTGTTGGTGAGTGTCTAGAAAAGGTTAGCAACGAGAATATTGAGGCTTTCCAGACCTCATGCCCCACTCTTTTATGTAATCAGCAAAATTTCATATAAATTAACCCCCATTTCCTTTCCCCTCTTGCACAATATCCTCTTTTCCTCTCGGTATAGTATTAAGGTCTATCTATAAAATTCGTCCGTGGCAATTATTCTTCGAAGCCACCTAACACTTGTTACATTAGTTAAGCAAATATAGTGTTAACCAATTGTTGAATTCTATTATCTATAGCGAAATGAAAGTTGTAGTAACGCAAAGAATCAACTCCATTCGCCATCTGAATTCGGAGACTTAGATCCGCAAAAAAGGATATCGTCGACGTGGTACTAAACAAGTCATTGAAATTTATAGAGCTGGGTACTCCAATGTCGCAATGAAAGGTCTCTATTCTTTATTTTATTGCCCCCATAACCATACATACTAATTGAACAGTCCGGCGCAAGATTACCCTCTCTCTCATAGCTATACAAAGGCTCCGCTAGTTAGCCAGCCAGACAGCGGCGTTACATATTCAAGGGCCAAACCAGTATCCCCACCCCACGAATGACCTTTCGCTTTCTTTTCCGTGGCAATGTAAACATACAGTGAGTATCGGCGCAAGAAGCCCAACTTAGCCGCCCTGTGGAACTCAAATTGAGCTTTCGGACGGTTCGTGCTGCCCAGACGAAGGCTCACAAACCAAAGCCGTAGCAGTCGCATAAGCTCTATCATGACTAATACTCACCTGTACCTCTCGGTAAGGATGTTCATCTCCCTCTTGGGATTTAACTATCGCCACAGGAGGCGAAGACCCCGTCTCCGTTTGGCTTTCGGTGGGAGTTATGATGTCGATATCATGATAGGTAATGCGTCGATGGCGGTGTGCTTTGATAATAGCTTCTTTAGCTGCGAATCTAGGTGGAAGGTTAGTTAGATATTCAAATTGTGGAGGGAACAAAATTCGATATACCTTCCAGCGAGGAACTTCGACAGGTCGTACATCGGTACTTCTCTCACTTGTTCATCATCCATTTTTCCACTCATTTTTCCACGCCCTCGAATCTTTGCGATCCCTCTCCCGAGCCAGAAGATTTGGGAAGTGATCCTTAATTTTATAGTCAGTATGAGCGGCGACTTAATAATCTTTCGCGAAAGGCGCTTTCGCGATGCAATATAAGGGAAATGCGGTGAACGAACGGTTTCGGCCATTTTTCCCGACTAGCATGTTTCATTTGCAAAGCCAGAGCTAGCTCAAGATCACTCATCGTCGCATTGCCGTCGATTTCTTCAATCCTCGCTTTGATGTCTTGATGAGTAACCTCACTACTCCACAATCATACGTCAGCATTTTTACCAAATCACAACACACATCCTACCCCAACCAACCCCACCGGTCGTCGGGTCAAAGGCAACATACGGTAAACGCCAATTATCGCACGATAGCATGTAATTCCCATCATCACCGAAGGACGATGCCAATGAAATCCGGAATCGCTGTTTCTCTGACGGGTTTTCCTCAAGGCGGAGGTTTGAAATAAGCTCATGAGAGTCCTGCATCGAACTCATGTTCTTCTTGAGATATTCTCCAAGAAGCGGTACGAAACGCTTCCAAGGATCAGCTTTCGCATCCTCAGCAACTGCCAAAGGAGAAAGTAATCGTTCCTTGTAACACTCCCTCTCCTTCTCCGTCAACACCCTCCTAACGAAACCCACCTGATCCCTCGCAACGATGTCCCAAATCCGAAAGATGCTACAGATATCACTCCCGATCCTCATTGGGGATGGGAATGGAAGAAATTTAGTCATTTCGAATCCAGTTGTTCGGCTCTGATGATGACTTTTGCATTCGTGTCAATTGCGTCGTGGTAATAAGATGATGGAATCGCTCGACAAATTTTGAAAGGTTTGCAGTGGGTAATGAGCCTCATTTATAAGGCGTCCAATGATAGCTTATCCCCGGCCCGAACCTCCTAATACAGGGGTAGGAATACTAATTTTCTTAGTACCGTATCTTTTAATGTATAATACCTTATAGAAAAGGGGGGCGGGGGCCGGGGGGTTTTATAACCGTAGCTAGATTATCCTAGAATCGTTACTTAGTATAGTATAATACGATTATAAATTTATAACCTGAGGAACATTCTCTAGGTATTCTTTTAAAACCGAGATTATTATTTTATAAGATAATTACGTCCTTAGACCGTCCTAGGAGCGTTCTCTAGGTACTAAGGCTATAAATACCCTTATTTCGTACATTTCTTCTTTCTAATTACCTACCTGCCTACCTACTATTATACGCTTATAAGATAGAACGCGTATAATAGCCTATTGTAACGAATACTAAAACTGGCTAACTAAACTTGGCTGGGTGTTCGCTGGTTGGTATGCTATGATAAGAAGAAGACTATCGGGTTGTTCACTTGGAAGTGAACTCGTTACTTGTATCAAAGATGTCAAACTAATATGATAAGATTGATAACTAAGTTGAGCACGAAGCTCCTATCTAATGGCAGACGTGCCAGTCTTATATAGAACCTTCGTTCTCTCGATGTTCGCTCGTTGTCAGGACTTGTAGCAAATGCTGATGAATTGAACTACAGAGGTTGTCTATGTACAAGAAGATTCGATTGTCCTTCCCAAAGCAGCTTCCCAGCCCTCTCTATATACCACAGAACTGGCTACGTGTCCTTTACCAATACTCTAGAAGGTTCCACCAAGTCTGCTTAGAGGTCACGTGCACATGTCGCTGGAGCACTCCAAGACTCAGTCCACGGGTGCAACCCTTGACACTCGTTCGACAATCGAACTGGCTAACTTCGCCTGTTCGCCCGGCTAACTGGCGAACTCCTAATATCACGTGATAACAATACAGAGAAATCCCTGGATCGCTTAACTACTCCAAACGATCCCTATTTGCTATAAGAAACCTGGATGTGCCTGTCGAGGGTTGCGCCTCTTATTATGACAGGTATCACGTGGACACGTGATTCGTGACACCTATAAGAAAGTAGTATATATAATATATATAGTAAACTTTACCCGAATTAATCGAATCTATTAAGCGCGTAAGAGGCTTTAGATATAGCTATTACTTAATTATAAACTACTTAAAAGAAAAGAGGCTAATTATAGATTTATAGGTCTATATATTATAGTATACTACTATTAGAAGACGAATAGAACATAGTATAGAATAGGATATGTATAAGGCCGGAAGCTAGCTAAGGGGGCAGGGAGTCTTTATAAGACGACCCTAACCGAGTAGAAGCTACTAGAATACTAGGTACCTACCTAGGTAACCGAGATAGTAGGTTAGGTAGTAAAGATAGGAGTCTCGGCTAGCTAAGACTATATCGTAATAATTAGAAGATAATTAGTAGTAATACGGAATAGGATAAGTATAAGGTCGGAAGCTAGCTAAGGAGGTAGTGAGTCTTTATAAGACGACCCTAATCGAGTAAAAGCTACTAGAATACTAGGTATCTACCTAGGTAACCGAGAAAGTAGGTTAGGTAGTAGAGATAAGAGTCTTAGCTAGCTAAGACTATGTTATAACAACTACCTAATTTAATATAGGAGTAAATACTAGAATATATTTCATTTATATTCTTCTTAGTATTAAGGTTAAGGCTCTAGGAGCGATACCGAGTCCTACGCTATATCTATACGTAACCTACCTACCTAGTAAAGAAGTTAAGGAAGTATAGGAGACTATCTAGTAACTATCTAGTAATTATCTAGTAACTATCTTAGAAAAAGATTATCCTATAATATACGATACTTATAGAACGATCCTTCTATAGTCTATATTAGGTAAGACGGTTATAAAAACCCCCCCTTCTTTTTAAGGTATTCTACTATAATAGTGCCTGGATTTCATTAACACGCTTTCCATACTCTTTTAGCTATTAGTTATAGTAAACAGGTAATATCCTGCAGCTCGGACCTCACTGCACCACTGTACGTAACCACTCGTCCCGTCCAGATTCACAGCCATGCACTATGTGCACCTCCTTCTCTGCAGTCTAATATGGAGGAAAGCCAACCCCATAATGAGCCTCAGCAATTCTTCTGTAAGAGACCTCATCGCCGGACTCCAAGCTCAAAGGTTTACCAGCTTTGAGTTGGTTCAGGGCTACCTTGCCCGCATCGAACAAGCCAACCCCACCGTCAGAGCAGTCAACGCTGTCACTCCTAACATTCTCGATGTTGCGAAGCTTTACGATTCAGAGAGAGAGTCAGGATTGCTTCGTGGTAGTCTTCATGGAATTCCAATTTTGGTTAAAGACGTATTTCTATCCACCGATGGAACCGACACCACAGGTACCCATATTCCGCAATTCCATTATTTTTTCATATTACTTCTTATAGCTCGGATATAGAAACTCTTCGTACGTAGGCTGATGGATTTCTCAGCGGGATGCTCTGGTCTGACAGGTGCGAAACCTTAGTTCGAGGCCACTGTGATCAAAAAACTCCGTGACGCTGGGGCTATAATACTTGGGAAAGCAAGCTGCTCCGAATGGGTGAATTTTCGGTCGCCGGAAAAGTCAATCAGCGGATGGTCTGTTGTTGGGGGTCAGGGCATCGGAATTTATGCTATAGACCAAAGTGCTTTGGGGTCATCATCTGGTAGTGCTATAGCATCTTCCTTGGGTCTGGCTGCTGTCGCACTTGGTACCGAGACCTCTGGAAGTATCTCCTCGCCTGCAAGAGCTTCAGGTATTGTCGGCCTAAAGCCAACCGTGGTTCTGACATCGAGGCATGGTGTTTACTGTGTTACGGAATGGGAAGACTCCGTGGGCGTGTTGGGCAAAACGGTTCTTGATGCTGCTGCGGTCTTGACAGCTATGGCTGGTGAGTAAATGGGACTCCGGGCCTTGCTTGAGCCTTCATCTTCTCACCCTTCCAGGCATCGATGAATTGGATGTTTTCACTAGCGCCGATCCTAGAGATGAAGGGCAAACACTTGCTCTCCGACCTACTGACGGAACGGATTTTACAGTCAACTGCCAGAAGAACAGTCTGCGTGGCTTACGAATCGCGGTACAGGTCCCCGTAAGGATATTTTGGTGAAGTATATATTGCTAAAAACATGTTGATAGATCACTCGACCTTGTATTGAACAACCGGAGGTTGTAAACACTCAATTCAATGAGGCCCTCAAGAAGTTGGAGGCTCTAGGTGCAACAGTGGTTGACAATGTGGAATTCACAATGTGGTCTCCCAGATACTCGGATATCAAAAGAGCAGAATAGCGTCTGGCATTTCGAAAGGAACTTAGCGAAAGTAAAATCTCCTTGAATTTGTGCCTCAAATTCCAGGGGTTTGAACCTAACTATAACTTCTTCTAGATATGAGCAAGTTTCTTGAAAGCTTTAGCGTCAATCCCTTTGCGCTTCATAATTTGACAGATGTTATTGAATACACCAGGAAAACACCAGAAGAAAAGTTTGAGGAATACGGGATGAATCAGTGGCTTCAGGCAGAAGATGTAGGGAAAAGATTCAGCATCGAGTCTGAGGAGTATAAAAGGTCTCGAGAGAGGCGTCTAACAATTGGACGCCAAATACCAGAATTGATGACCACGTATAATTGCGACATGCTGGTGGCTCCTTCATTTACCGACACCACGGCAAATTACGGCGGTTGCCCTACAGTCTCTGTGCCCATGGGTCGCTATCCAGACGAGTACCCCTCGAAATATACCCCTGACAATCCTCTGGAAATTGGCCCGAATGTACCGTGAGTAAGACCAAGTTATGATTCATGAAAACGAGCTAAATAGGTCAGGACTTCCATACTTTTCGTCGGGCGCAGATGGGATGACGAACGCCTCATTGCAGCAGCGTATGCATATGAGCAAGGGACCCACCATAGGGAGACGTTGAAACCAGTTATTGAACTGCCGGATGGGTTAGAAATAGGCGCCAGTGATGTGAGTAATTTGTTTTCGAAGACAAAATATGCCGAACACAACTCGTCACAGTTTGTGGAGGCGTGAAAAATATAGAATACCCTACTTAGAAATAGAGCTCTTATCGGTTTCAATACCACCCTGACACTTTTTAGTGAAGCTCACACATAACGACACATATTGCGAGGCTCTTATTCATTATCTGCAACCGGACCCAAAGTGGTTCACGATGGAACCGTACGAAATTGTGGGAAAACTGCCTCCTGGACTTCCAAAACAGAACATACTATCCAAAGCGTACTGTTACTACTGTACAAAGTAACAATAACTGATGTCCGGGGAAATGAACGTCACTTTCCACTAGAAAGACATGGTTTCTAGTGGATGCCTCACCACACTAGGCAAACTTTCAACATAGAACGGAGCATTAATTGATATGTATAGCGGAAATGAAGAACTTCATCAAATATACCTTGAAATTTAAATGCTAAGCATATCAAAACCATTCATTACCAAGTATAACCTCCCCGCCCGATTCAGATAATCTCTCTAGAGAACAATGTCCCAGGCGGCTGTATGCAGGACCACATGGACGCTTCTATTTACTGGGTCAAGGACGAAAGTGCTCTTGTTGATACCTTCATTGGATTTCAAGAATCTTATCATGATCCGCTAGCTTTTGCGGTCTTGCTGCAGGTATCATTAAGCGAGATGGAGCTTTCAGTGGGCGAGCAAGAAAACATCGGGCAGGTAAAAAAGCCGGAGTACATAGCTTCTTATTCGCGTATGACTCAATATTTTTGATTGCTTTATTTCTTTATAATCAGTAGATCAAGTAATAACAAGCAATGACCGGAAACTTGAGGACACTTAAAGTGTTTGACCTAAAAGGTTTAATAGACTAATTCCGTACCTGAAATTACTCTAGTGAACGGAGGAATATTAAAGATACTCTGTCTAGTTTTTATACGGCTATGCCCACACCAAAAAGCAATAAGAGTAACAAACGAGTATAAGTAGACTGTATAGGCGATCGTGTTAGGGGGGGTTTGGCCATAATCTCACGCAGATACCAAGCACTGGTGCAACGAATGAATGAGCCACTTCTTATCATTTGTTTTTATTAAGCGAATGATTCAGCTTCCCCATAATCAAAACGTAAAAATATCGTAAGAAACCTCGCTAGTACTCTCTGAATTAAATTAGAGAGATAGGAACACGTTGGCGATAATCAAGCCGACTTTACAGGTAGCTAAAAATTGCTCCCTCGTATTTTCCTAGAATGCTCGCTATTACTCTTCCACGCGAAAACAATACATTTCATCAGTTATGCTACAATACGGGAAGGAAAACTTCGCAGGCTGACGCATCACATAAAACGAGCTTTGCAATGTACTTGAGTACGTAAATCGGCTGGCAAAGTCGGATCTCTCACCTGTACGTGGTGCCAGCTACGAACTGGTGATAGATACCTTTTGGTATTCATCTGAGCTGAGAGAGAACGCAATACGACGACGACGAGCCCTTCACCCTCACCGCCGCGACACCGTCCAGCGAAGGATATCCGCGACAGCACGATTAGAGACGACTCTACGTATAGCATAACCAACTGCTCAGTTTTTGTAACCTTTACTACGTTATTTACGATCTCTTTCGCAGCTAAGGACGAATCCGCCATCGCAAAATCAGAGTTTTCACCCCCACTTTGACGAAATTTATTCTCTTCTACACGATCGCACCTTGGCTGGCCATGGAGGGAACCCCTTTCAATGGGCTTATGGCGCTCCCACGCCCTTCGCAATACTAGGGAACTAGGCCAGAGGCTGTCAAATAACAATTTCATTCTCTACAATTACGACTATTCTGGCATTGTATCATGTCTCGACCTGCGGCTTGGGAGGAGATATAAGGAGGATATTTGGAGAGTAGAGGAGTTACGAAGGCACACATAGATACCTGCCCCTGAGCGACAGAAATCGCTAGATTTCTGTGTCATGCTGGTTTTCAAGTTTTTCCTGGCAGGGCAGTACACGCAAAGGGCTAGAGTTTGTCTAGCTGGTGGGAGCAATCGACGGGGTAACCAACTCCCTTAAGTACTGTGCTAAATGGATATCTATGGGGCTCTGTGCTGTTGATGTGGTCATTGTAATTAGACAGAGAGAAGATATACTGCCTGAGGCCAGGTATCTTTGGCTCGAGCAGGAAGGCTCAAGTGTTCTACATAGTCTCAGACTGATACAGAACAATAGGCTGGCAAAGTCGGATCTCTCACCTGTACGTGGTGCCAGCTACGAACTGGTGATAGATACCTTTTGGTATTCATCTGAGCTGAGAGAGAACGCAATACGACGACGACGAGCCCTTCACCCTCACCGCCGCGACACCGTCCAGCGAAGGATATCCGCGACAGCACGATTAGAGACGACTCTACGTATAGCATAACCAACTGCTCAGTTTTTGTAACCTTTACTACGTTATTTACGATCTCTTTCGCAGCTAAGGACGAATCCGCCATCGCAAAATCAGAGTTTTCACCCCCACTTTGACGAAATTTATTCTCTTCTACACGATCGCACCTTGGCTGGCCATGGAGGGAACCCCTTTCAATGGGCTTATGGCGCTCCCACGCCCTTCGCAATACTAGGGAACTAGGCCAGAGGCTGTCAAATAACAATTTCATTCTCTACAATTACGACTATTCTGGCATTGTATCATGTCTCGACCTGCGGCTTGGGAGGAGATATAAGGAGGATATTTGGAGAGTAGAGGAGTTACGAAGGCACACATAGATACCTGCCCCTGAGCGACAGAAATCGCTAGATTTCTGTGTCATGCTGGTTTTCAAGTTTTTCCTGGCAGGGCAGTACACGCAAAGGGCTAGAGTTTGTCTAGCTGGTGGGAGCAATCGACGGGGTAACCAACTCCCTTAAGTACTGTGCTAAATGGATATCTATGGGGCTCTGTGCTGTTGATGTGGTCATTGTAATTAGACAGAGAGAAGATATACTGCCTGAGGCCAGGTATCTTTGGCTCGAGCAGGAAGGCTCAAGTGTTCTACATAGTCTCAGACTGATACAGAACAATAAAAGGAATAATAATAGAGTACGTAAATCAAAAGGTTCGAAAATAGCTTCATATCGCATCTTTGACGTAAGATTACACGTAAAGCCACGCCTACAATGAAGGAAGCCGCACACTACCTATACGACCACCGCTCGAGTACACACAAGTACAAGTCTCTGAGAACCACTTAATTTACTCAATTTACTCAATACGGTATATACAAACCATCTATCATTTCTTGAATTTGATATCCATCGTTATCGTTGCCGGATTTGTCCCCGGATCACGTGAAAGTCACGTTTGAGAATTACACGATGAGGTCCCCTGTAAAATACGTAGTTTCCAAGGTAAAACATCCCTTTCACTTTCGAAATATAATAGCTTTATCAGGCCATTGCCTTATCAGGCCATTGCCTTAGAATAGGAGTCCAAACGCCGAAGGCTTTTCGGGTATATAAAAACGTACGGGGTTCTACCGAAAGCATCTAAGAAACTCTATTTATCTATCCGCCGCAATGACACGGATATACTGCCTAACTGATCCCAAAGAAAGTCACACACGTCTTCTGTCGTCTCATGTCGACCCACGTCATCTCAAACTGAGACGCCCACACCACTTGTAGAAGTAGAGCTTTGGCCCATGCTTAATGCTGTCTCTTGTTGACTGATGTAAAGAGGGAGAAATGATGTGATGGATGAATGTGTATTTGTGCCAGTCGTACCAGAGTGTCCCGAAGGACATCTGCACAGTTGACTAATAGAACATATATCCACCCCTGTGTGTCCGAATTTCGCACTCCCACTGAAGGTGGACAATAAAGCTGGATACTGTCTCGTAAATCAGATGCGCGGAAAGTCTATAATGCCCAGGCACGAGTCTCTGATTCGATAGTTCACCTGAAGTTGAGGCGAGCCGTAACATATACAGGCGAGGGGGTTTATTAATGAGATGTGACCAACCTTTTAGATAGACTGTAGGCTTAAACCTGGTCCCCTAAAAATATCAAAATACTTCGTATTTGGCTCTTTACATAAGCTCGGTTTTTGTGAAACGCCTCTATCTCCATAGAGAAGAAAAATAACCTGGAAAATTTTGCTGTACAAGTAAGATTACCGCCATGGGTATCGTGGTACCCGGGTACCCAAGTATAAGTACACTAGGCAATCCACACCAACTTATCTTCGATTTCCATTCCATTTCAATACCAATTAAAAATATATAAAAACATTATATACATTCTTATATTCTTCCATCCCGTGCCGGTCATAATGAAGTTCCTCGCAAGCCTTTCTATCCTCTTCCTCACCGCCAGCAGCGCCGCCGCCGCTAGCACACCAAAATGCGTCAAAGTAAATAGTCAAAAGATCTGCGTAATACCCACCTACCTCACTGTCAACAGCTTCTCAAAAATAATCTAACAACTACACAGGTGCCAGGCGATCCATTACGTCAACAATATAACGTGAGTAGCCAGACCTTTACGAATTCTTGCCCGCGAGAAGTGGCCGACTGACTAATAACTTCCAGTGTTCAATTGATGAACTGGACCCCGAAGATTTTGGTGCTACTGGATGCACCTTCAGAGAAGGAAACGGAACGCCTGAGCTGAAGTGGTGTTTAAGTATACTCTGTTTTGCTTCTATGACGGGAAACGCTCGATATGGAAGGCTAATGAATCGGGGTTACAGTGCAAGACTTAATTTTAGGAAGTTGATGCTCCAAGCCGATACAATAAAACATTTTTGGAATCACTTCAAGTCGCCATCAAGTGTGATGTATTGATATGTACCAAACCCTTTAACCTACCGTGACGGCGAAGTTGTCATTTGTTTATTGGCCGCGTGTTACTTTGATTTTCAAGTGCTTATACCTAGGTACCCGTTAGCTAGCTATAGGCAGATCTTTCTCTTCTGATCCAAGCTCCTCAACCCGCTTTCACCTGCCATTCTATACGTGGCCCATAGACACTCCGCCTCAGTAAATCTAAGATACTTTGATAGCCGTCAAGAGAGACCCGACACCTTATGAAAACATTCTTCTCAAATATAATCCCAAACAGTACAATAACCGCATTTTTCCTAACCACGATAGCTTCCCTGGCTTCCTAATCATTATGAATTACATCTATGGTACACTCCGCTAGAATGATCTGAGACTTTCCGATATTTATGCCGTAGCTTTATAAAGGCTTCTTGGAGGATATACTCTAAAGCCCTGCTTGAATTTCGTGTTTTAAGGGGAATAAACTTGCTGATCTCTATTACCTATTTGAATTCCTAGGATTACGCTTCCGTCGTCTTGCAATGACTAGCACTGTCATGACATGAGTCTGTCTTCTCTGAATCAAGGCACCCAAAACCACCTCACTCGCCCCTAATCTTGCTATACAGTTATCAAGTTGTAGTTGCCACCATTCATCAATAAGCGGAACAAGCAATTAACGATCCCAACTCCCTTCCAAGAGTTCACAACACGAGCATAACCAGTTCCCTGATTTAATTGAAGGTGGACACAGATTTCACCCTTGTGATCCTGGTGGAAGAGACTTGACGACATCCAATGACCGCAGAAGCCAGCTTGAAATGTAATAGAGAATAATTACATATCTATGAGGAAGATGAGAGTATAATGAATGAGATAAGGCAAAGATATGGCGTGCTAGACACAACGACGAGTCAAGTCAGCTCGTTATAACCGGTAGAATCAGACAACCAAGGTAAGAACAAAGTTCAGACAGCAAACCTCGCACGCCTACCGACTTCCACCTTATAGGAGCTACAATTACAGCGAGCCACTAGGATTGGGACAGTACCTTGCGAAAGGAAGTAAACTGGCATAGCTACTCAAATCGCAAACCCATCATGCTTTGGAGTGTCACAAAACCTCCACAATCCCGCCTCCTCAGCCGCAAGTCGCACCGCTGAAACTTCCTCCCTAGACACATGTCGATTAATCTCCTCATATCTAGTTTGCTCACCTGCACCAGCCCTGTCCTGCGTAGACGTTGAATCTGCCATTGCAACTCACCGCGGTCTTTTAGGCTTCCCCACATGAGCATCCGGATGATACTGTTCCATGATATTAACAAAAAGATCCCTCGAAACGTTACCGGCCATCCATCTCATGATTTCCTCGCCTTCGCTCTCATACCCCGGCATGACGAGGTGTCGGACGAGTAACCCCTTCTTAGCAATGCCATCAGGGGTAAAACAGAGGTCTCCTACTTGAGCTTGCATCGCTTTGATACTCTCCATCGCAGTCTCGGTATACTTAGGAACTTTCAACAACCTCGAGGAAGTAGTATCTTTCCAGACTTTGAAATCAGGGAGATAGATATCTACCAATCCATCCAGCAACTCAATTGAATCCAAGGAATCGAATGCGGAGGTGTTGTAGATAATCGGGACATTGAGGCCTAGCTCGCGAGCATGGAGGATACTAAGAACTACTTGGGGGACAACGTGTTCTGGTGTGATTAGATTGATGTTGTGGACTTGGCCCATGTTTTGCAATTTGATGTACCATTCGCCTAGCTCTTCTGGGTTGAGATCTTGCCCGTTTCTCTTGTGTGCGATATCGTGGTTTTGACAGAATACACAGCGGAGGTTGCAGCCAGAGAAGAAGACGGAGCCGCTGCCATTGTGGCCTTGGATGCAGGGTTCTGTTGAGGATTTATTAGTGCTGAACTGTTCGCCATACAGCGCTTATCGAACACTTCGCTCAGTCCGAATTCATATCAAATATATACAGGTACTATTCCATACCGACTCATTCCTTTTTCAAATAGTCCGGAGGAATAACTTGACCTCTTACATATGGCTACCTACTCACCTTCGCCAAAATGGGGAGCAATAACGTTCACCTTGACCGTCTCCGCCCCAATGAGACACGCGCCAGTCTTCTCATAACGATTTACTCCACAGAGCCGAGGGCAAAGATTACAATTGCGGAGATGCGCATACGCTGCTGAGCGGTTCTTGGATGCATCGATAGAAGAAAGTTGGTGATAACGCGGGATGTAGTCGTCGAGAAGAAAGGGAGGTGCTAGATGTAGCTTCCGACGACTGATGTTAGAAGCATGGTGATGAATCAGGGAACGAAAGGGTTTTGCAAGATTCATGGCTGGTTTATTGAAATGCTTGATGCTATCTTGATGAGTTTAGGTTGTTGCCTTGGTCGTTCTCACACCAAAGGGTGTAAGTCTTCTCAAGTGAATAAGAGCAGGACGAGCTCTTCTTCCAGACTCTGGTTTTCCAGCGTAAGCTCGAAGAATGAACTGAATTGTTCTGAAAGATATGGGAAAATTATTTGATAGAATGTTCATCACCCCAAAGGTTTGAAGTTCTGGGTAGTCGGATAGCTATCGGAGTCGGAGTTTTTGTGCCGGGCCGAGATCCCTGTCGACGGGACATCACACGTTGTCGTGAACCTTTGGCGCTTCCAAAGAACCACAACCTCAAAACCTCTATTTACCACCTGATCCCCATTGCAACCTCATATGTTGCTATTAACGACGTACTAGCGCTAGCATTAAATAGCGACGAAATTGAGGAAGCAAGTGTGATGCGGTGCTTGCGTAGTCCTTGACTCAAATCCCGGAGCCGCAATTCGTCATCGCGTGGATAGCTGCATGAAAAATGTCGGAGCCTATGGATATTGATGAAGCCGGTCCCAGAGGCACCAAAAGAAAGGCCGATGAATCAAATCTCGAAGTTTCTGCTCCGAGAAGGATAAGAGTAAGCTTTCAAACTCCCAGATTTGACTCTTTTTATTGATCTTGCCCAGGCTCTTGATCCAGATGTTGTCAATAAAATTGCCGCTGGAGAGATCATTGTCGCGCCTGTGCATGCTCTCAAAGAGCTGATTGAAAATGCCGTGGATGCTGGTTCAACCTCTCTGGAAGTGCTGGTCAAGGATGGTGGGTTGAAACTGTTGCAAATCACCGACAATGGCCACGGAATTGCTGTAAGCACCTTGAATTGAAGCCACTCTCGACATGTATGCTAACTGCCATTAAGAAAGAGGATTTACCAATTCTATGTGAACGATTTACAACGTCCAAGCTGAAAGCCTTTGAGGATCTCACTTCAATAGGAACGTATGGCTTCAGGGGTGAAGCATTGGCCAGTATCAGTCACATTGCACATCTTCAAGTCACCACCAAGACGAAGGACTCGAGTTGTGCCTGGCGAGCCCATTATGACAGCGGAAAGTTGATTCCAGCTAAACCCGGTCAAAGCGCTGAGCCTAAACCCACCGCTGGTCGACCTGGTACCCAAATCACCGTCGAGGACCTCTTTTACAATGTTCCAACTCGTCGTCGGGCTTTTCGGTCAGCATCTGAGGAGTATAACAAAATCCTTGATGTTGTAGGAAGATATGCTATTCATTGTGATGGAGTAGCTTTTAGCTGTAAGAAGCATGGCGAATCAGGAACCACGATTTCAACCCAATCTACGTCCTCAACCACCGACCGGATACGGCAAATTCATGGTGGAACAGTGGCAAATGAATTGGTGGAATTCACATCTTCGGATGAGCGCTATGGATATAGAGCCAGAGGACTGACCACAAACGCCAATTACCATGTAAAGAAAACCACTCTCCTTCTTTTCATCAACCACCGCTCCGTCGACTCAAGCAACATTCGAAAAGCAATTGAACAAACATACTCAACCTTTCTCCCCAAAGGTGGCCATCCTTTCACATATCTCAGCCTAGAAATCGATCCCGCACGCGTAGACGTCAATGTGCACCCCACAAAACGAGAAGTCAATTTCCTCAACGAGGACGAAATTATCGAAACAATATGCGGGGACATACGCACCAAACTCGCAACTGTGGACGTGAGCAGAACCTTCATGACCCAGACTCTCCTCCCGGGAGCCCCCATTCCCCTCGCCCCGGGATCCTCAAAAGATAGCAATGTTACCTCTCCTACAAAAAGTGGACAGGTATCGACCCCCAAATCACGACCCTACGAAAACAACCTTATCCGAACCGACGCCAAAGTCCGGAAAATAACTAGCATGCTTCCCCCACACACAACAAGCGCCACCTCCTCCATGACTCTCTCCAATGATCTCTCCACCACCGAATCAGAATACATCTACGAAGACCGCACGCCCATCATCTGCCGTCTCCAAACCATCAAGGAGCTCCGCGCCGCAGTGCGGGACTCCATGCACAACGAACTCACCGAGATCATCGCCAGTCACACATTCATCGGCATAGTCGACGAACGACGACGTCTAGCCGCCATCCAAGGGGGCGTGAAGCTCTTCCTCGTAGACTACGGGATGCTAAGCAACACCTACTTCTACCAACTAGGCCTCACCGACTTCGGCAACTTCGGCCACATAAAATTCATCCATCCTCTCTCTCTAACCTCCCTCCTAACCATCGCCGCCACGCACGAGAAAACCCACAATCCCTCCACGGCCCCAGAAGACGACTTCGAGATCGCCGACGTCGTCGAAGTGGTAAAAGCCCAACTCCTATCCCGCAAAGAAATGCTCCAAGAATACTTCTCCCTCACCCTCTCCCCCACCCCAAACGGGGACGGAGAACTCCTTTCCATACCCCTCTTAATAAAAGGCTATACGCCATCCCTCGCGAAACTCCCACGATTCCTGCTCCGACTAGGACCGCACGTGAATTGGACAGACGAGCAAGGATGTTTCCACACTTTCCTCCGGGAGCTCGCTTCCTTCTACGCCCCAGAACAACTACCGCCATTACCCGGTCCTACATCAGGACCGAACGAAGGGAAAGAAAGAGAAGGAGGAGATGCCGAACCAGATATCCCCGAGCAAATCAAGACCCGAAGAGAGGAAGTCCGACGAAGCGTGGAGGATATTCTCTTCCCCGCCTTCAAAGCACGGATGCTCGCTACGAAGGAGTTGGTGCAAGAGGGTGTCGTCGAGGTGGCGAATCTGAAGGGGTTGTATAGGGTGTTTGAACGATGTTGAGGGTATCTACCTACTTGCCTGTCCATCTATCTTGAGATGAGATGAGTATCGTGATATGGAGAGTATTCGCTTGTTTGTGTTGGTTTTTATGGTGGGTATCTGTCGCTTACTTATACGGTGTAACGATGTGCATATTTTACTAGATTGGGTTAGCTGGGTCATCTCTTTTACTGGCTGACTAGCTGGCTTTTCACTGGCTAGCGGGGAGGTCTACGGTTGCTAAAGTATATGGTTGCTTCTGATTGCATGGATTATATGGCGTGGCGTCTATCTTTACTGGACTTATTGCTTTTTTGCTGGGAAGGGCGTTACGAAGTACTATATGTAATGTATGAATCTTGGTCAACATACATTTCTTTCGCTAGTTACTACAGTACTACAAAGCTGGGCATATTGGCATTGGCGTTTTGGCATCGCATCTTCAGATCTGACATCACAAACATCACGTACTAAAACTGAACTAAACTGAATCAAATCAAATCAAGTTGAACGCACGTAGACAATAGATCTTAAGTAGTAATTCCAATATTTCACCTCTATCATTCATAGTAGCTAAGGTAGCTGATCGCCTCCCCTATAAAAGGAGGAGGGATAAACCTCATTTTGCTACGGAAAGCCTTTTATTATACAGTGTATTTCGTTGCTGCGTAACCCCCCACTCAACTCTTCCCATCATCCCAATCAGGGTTCTATATCACGAATTAGCATTCATTCTTCTCGTTCTCATCAAGATTCAGCACGGGAAGAGTGCAACATACCTTTCTCAAGATCACCAGCCCCTCAAGATTATTCGTCAAAGGAACATACTGCTCATCCTCCAACTCCGCTCGTTCCCCATACGCCAAAAGCACCGGCGTACTCTGCGTCTGCCACCCAGTGATAGTCTTAGGTCGTCCAGCCTGTCCCACGACATCCACAGCCTGACCCACTCTCACATTTACAGTCAGTGGCTTGAGATCTTCATCCAGGGTAACCAGGAATCGTGGATGCATAGCAGTGACGAGGTAGTAAAGGAGGTAATGCGATTTATCGGTGACAAACTGCTTGGCGTCAATCATAGCGACGAGTACCGATAAGAGACCGGCAGCCGCGACACGAGAGAGAACCTGTCGATCCGTGTGGAATGGACTGATGGATAGTGTTCCCTTGCCCATGTGGAGAAGACCCTGAGCGATGCGGACCATGAAGAGGGATTCCTGGTCTCGGTGGTAGTAACTTGCCAATTGTCGGAGAAGTTGCGCTAATCTGGCATTGTTGGTTCCTGCTCCCAGAAGACCCATGGCAAATATGGCGTTAATGGCAACATCGTTGTCATTGTCGTGACTGTATCTGGAAAGAGTATCATAGACCTTCATCTGTGGGTTACTTGGACTCAACAGACCCATGGCCAAAGGAACAGCTCTTCGAATGTTGGCCTCACCGTAATGCATCAAATGGCCAAATTGGCGCAGAACCATTTCTTGGCCGACATCTTCACCCATAGCAACAAGACCAATTCCAACAACGGCATAAGCTTGAAGAAGCTCATCACCCTTCTTGTCATCGGTATCCTCGATGTGGTCGTTACAGATATGGAGAAGTTCCTGCATCTTCAAAACAGTACCTGTTCCTGCCCAGGCACAGATTTCTGCAAGGACTGAAGTTGGTTTTGACATTGGGTGGTCAATCGCCTTCAGAGTCTCGAGAATGACATCGACCTCCTCCTGTTGTCCAAAGTACAAAATTCCGAGACCAAGAGCCATGAAGCGGGTCCATTTGTCCTTCAGTTGTGATTTACGCTCATCGTCGAGAAGGGTCTGGATAATAGCTTCACTAACATCACTATTTGATGATCCAACAAATGCCATTCCCAAAGAAAGTGCAGCCATAGCAGACATTTGCATGTCCTGGGTAGTATCACCCACAATGGGTAATAGAAGCTCCAAAAGTTCCTCCCGGTTCGAACCAGCGTACGCAAGTCCCAATCCCATAATGGAAGCAACTCGGACCTGTGGGCTCTGGTGGTTCAACTTATCCGTGTCACCAAGAAGAGCCAAGGCAGGTTCAGAATCCATACGAACTCCCGAGTTCATGATACCGATAGCCAACATAGCACCAGCTTGAATTGGCTCTTCCTCGGAATAGGTGTATTTGTCGATTTTGTCAAGACCGCCCTCAACATCCCACAATTGTAATGTGCCCAAAGATGCTACAGTGGACATCATACCCTCCTCCTTCGTCTTCCATACCCAACTGGATTTGTCATCCTCAACCATCATCATCTTATCGTTTCCATATCCAGCATTCACAAAAGCGTTCACGAAACCAGCCGCCAAGTTGTGTCGTGCAGAATCAAGGTTGGTTAGACCAGCGACACGGTTGCTTTCCAGATGGCTCTTGTAGATATCCTCGGTTGTCTTTGGGTCCAGAATGTTCAACTCCTTTCCTAGCGCCTTGAAGTGCTCCGGTAATTTTGTGTTGTTCAAACACTCGACAATTTCCTGCTCCTCCTCGGTGTCTGGGTGATATTCAAGAACGATTTGCTGTCTTGCAATGAGGAAAGCCATCTGCTTCTTAAGAGCCAGGTCTTTCGTCGAGTTGAAATCATGTTGGATCATGTCGATATCATTCAAGCGGATAGCAAGAACAATTGCTTGGGTAAGCTGTCCATAATGTTTGTAAATTCCGTGTGCTGTTCGGAGGAATTGTTGATCTTCTGGGTATGTCAATAGGTTCACCATGCTAACCATGTACAAGCAAACTCGAGGAAAGGTATCTTTATCAAGAAACTTGGGAATATCCTCAATGATCTCAATCTCACTCATTAAATCCACGGCATCTGCCTCGGCGTTGCTTTTGAGAAATAGAGGAACTAAAACCAAGGCGAGATCAATGAGATCTTGGTATGGTTGTTCAGCCGTTAATCTCTTGGTGTACACTTCTCCAATCTCCAAGGCCAAATGGCGAGTGTATTCATGACCCCAGGATCCGATATCTGACGTTGGTGCCAGCAGTCTGTATTTGAGGGTGTCCTGTCTGTCTTCGTCCGAAAATGTCATGCCGATTACTGAAAGTACATCTGCCAAAGAAGTCTTGTCATCCCCAGCCGGCCACTCCTCATATAGTTTGATCATAGGCTCGTAATGCGGTCGAAGGAATTTGAGAGGTTTAGGAACAGCAGTCATCGATGAGGTCGATGTCTTGATGGACTCTTTAATCGCCTCTAACGCTGCCTTGTAAAGTGTCTTGTCGGATTCCTGAATTGCCAGAGTTAGTAATTGTGTAAACCATTTCAATCTCAAAGTTGCGTACTGTCAGACGCTCAACAAGCATATCCAGCTCGCTCTTTAGCTGTTGGTCTTCCTCACTGAGCTCTTCTGCTGTAAACATATATCAGCATTCAACCAACCAAAAGCCACTCTCCATTTAAGCCCTACCTCCAACCGGACCATCCTCCTTCTTTCCATTGGGTATAGGCTTCCCATCCTTATCCTTCTTAACCTCCTCAGCTTTGCCGGGCTCCCCATCTACCGCCTTTCCCTTGCCCTTGTCAACAGACTTTGGTTGCTCACCATCCTGCGCCATGATGACCTTGGAGGCAACGGATTGATCAAGTAAAGGTGATGGTTTGTGGTTTCAGACAAGTTCGGAGGCCAATATAGAAGTCGTAGGAGTCCGCAGAAATCCGAATGGCTGTGGAAATAGGTGACGGAGGACAATTTGGGTGGTTGATGAATTTCAGGCACTGGGAGCTTTCGCGTCAAGAGCTCCCTCCAGACAAGCGGGAACCGCCTTTCACTAGCGCCGACCAGGATACCGGGGCTTGGCACAACCCTCCCGAACCTCCCCCAAAAAATCAATTTATCTACAGTACGATTACGATTTGCGACCTCAGGAACCCTCCAGGAGTCCACAAACCGCAAACATGAGACTCGACACGAAGCACATGCGCTACCTCACGGTGGAAGATTGGCGTTGCCTCACCGCCGTCGAGACCGGCTCTAAGAACCACGAGGTCGTCCCTACCCCTCTAATCGCACAATTATCAGGACTGCGGGGTGGAGTCCACAAGAACATCTCTGCACTGGCAAAAGTAGGCCTCATCGCGCGACTCAAGAACGCCAAATATGACGGCTACCGCCTGACCTACGGAGGTCTCGACTACCTCTCACTGAATACCTACCGCAAGCGCAAAGATGTCTACAGCGTGGGGAACCAAATTGGCGTGGGGAAAGAAAGTGACATCTTCGTCGTCGCAGACGAGCAGGGCGTGCAACGAGTCCTCAAGATCCACAGATTAGGTCGAATATCCTTTCGAACCGTCAAGGCGAACAGAGATTATCTCAAGAACCGGTCGTCGGGGTCCTGGATGTACATGTCCCGATTAGCAGCCTTGAAAGAATACACATTTATGCAAGTCCTCCGCGAGAACGGTTTCCCGGTCCCAGAACCACTGGCGCAATCTCGACACACCATCGTCATGTCACTTATCGACGCATTCCCCATGCGCCAGATTTCTTCCGTCCCAGATCCTGCGTCTTTATACGCCGAGCTGATAGCCATGATCATGCGCCTGGCCCAATTCGGACTCATCCACGGCGATTTCAACGAATTCAACATCCTCATAAAAGAAGAAACCACCCCGGCCTCCGCAGACGAGAAAGAACCGGAGAAACTGACGTTGACTCCAATCCTGATCGATTTCCCCCAGATGGTATCCATCGACCACGCCAATGCAGAGTACTACTTCGACCGAGACGTAAACTGCATCAAGCGCTTCTTCCAACGTCGATTCCACTTTACCAGCGACGAGAAGGGACCATATCTCTCAGAAGCTAAAAGGTTAGTAGGCAAAGACGGCTCCGTCAGACTAGACGTCGCAGTCTCCGCGTCAGGATTCTCCAAGAAGATGGCAAAAGAGCTGGAAGCATACATGAAGGAAGTCGGCGTCGACGGAGACGGAGACCCAAACGCAGCACGTGGGGACGAAGAAGATGATTCAGGAAACGAGGACGAGGAAGCAGAAGAGAGTGAAGAGGATAGTGAGGCGAAACAACTGGAAGTGACGCAAGTGGAGTCTATTCAAAATGACGAGAATCGGGTTATTATTGGCAAGGATGTTTTCGGCAATAATATATTCGAGAAGCTGAAAATTGAAGATCAGACTTGAGCATGTTCTCATTGCGCAAAACATTCCAATCAAAAATTACAGATCCAAGCCACCAAATGAGCCAAGGGATACTGAGCAGCACGGTTGAAAGGCTGAGGCCGTAGTGCGTTGGAACAGTGATACAATGAACAATCATTGGAATATTGATTAGCTGAAGAAGTTCTTCGCTTCGATTTAAGTTGCTGAGAGAGAAAGGGATGTAAGAACACTCGGTTCACGGGTCATTTTGACATCACAAAGCAAGGACTTGGATTATGGCAAATATGAGATGTATTCCCATCGAACTATGATACACAAGGAATCCTACCAACCCCAGGCAGTTTGATAGCCATAATTCCACAGCAAAAGAAAATCAACTGATACAAGTAAAAAGCTCAAGGCTTTTCCATATCAACTCTTCCTGACATAGTGAAATGATTCGTGCCACCAAATGCCATATCCCATATGCCACACCCAACTCAAAAATACCGGCGACCACAATCGATGTTACCTGGTAAGAAGACTTGAAAATATGTTGACGGTACCATCAGCAATGCGACATAGTGTATGTTGACAGATATGTATGTCTGCTTCTGCCCGACGAGTACGCATGTATGGTAATGTGTTTATGTTGTAAAAGGCGATGTGCTGCATATGACCGCATCTTGGAGAGAGAATCGCAAAAAGACTTTTAAAAAGCAACCTCGCGTTGTGATAGGAAAGAATACGTAATGGAAATCGAAAGAGGCCCAAGGAAGAATGACATCTTGGGAAACATGAAGGGGGATATCGCTTAAGATTTACGGGCAGTTGGAGAGCCACTGTGTGGTGGTGCGTCGTATTGGACTGTGTCGTCTGCTGAGCCATCCTCCGAAATGGTTGGAGTTGTGATCAAAGGCTGCCTAGGCGGATATTAGACAGTTGTCCATTGAAAGCACCAAAGAACAAACTTACTTGTTCGAGGACTTGTTTGGAGTGGCTTCGGTGAGTTCGACCTTGACCTGACGATCAATGTCCTTGAAGATGGGAGCGCCACCAGTTGAGCTTGTAGTGGAGTGTGGTTCCTCGCGCTTCCAGGTGCCCTCAGACCGAGTAGAGCCGATGTGTTGGTTAAGCATGCTGGTGCGAGGAAGAAGAGGGGATGGAATTGGAGGAGACAATGTGAGTTCAGATGCAGTGCCATATGCACCAACATTGTACTCATTGGTTCGGAATTGTCGACGCTCAGTGGTGATGCGCTTGAGGTCCTTTTGAGCTGGAGTGTCGGCATATCGAACTTGGAGGAGAAGACCATCCTCGCCAATTGGCTGTCCATGGAATTTCTTGATGATTTCCTCGCAAACTTCACGACTCTCAAATCTGTCATTGGTCAGTAAATGCTTAAACCAAAGAACTGGATAATTTTGCTTACCGAGCAAAACCAACACCACGGCTGTTGTTGTTAGAATCACGAAGGATTCGGCTGGAGCTCACAGTGTAATCCATGAAAATAGCACCAAGTTCCTACACAGATATTAGACATTCCTGGTACACAAAAGGGGATATACTCACCGATTCCGTCATGGCCTTTGGAAGATTGGACACATAAAGATTCGTAGAAGACTCATCACCCTCTGCCTTAAGCCGAGAGTTGAAGGACTCCTGCTTTACTTTAGTAGGTTGCTCTCCGGGCAAGGGACGGGTGGGGTTTACCCTAGCAAAGCCAACTTCGTAACCGAGCTTGTAAAAGCCGCGGATACATAGTTCAGAGTCACGAACATTATGGTACTTTGCGAAACCAAATCTGAAGTCAAGTCAGCATGCATAGATCAGACAGAAGGAATTGGATGAAACTTACCCCTTGCAGGCTCCGGTAGAGGTATCAATGATAGCCTTCGAGGTCTCAATCTTACCAAAGCGAGCAGCATATGCAGCCAAAGTCTCATCATCAGTGTTAGGGTGGAGACCACGGATGTAGACATTGCGGTTGCCAGCAATAGGATTAGACAAGCTCTGGTCGAGAGTTCTCATGCTCTCACGAGGTGTGAAGACAGCAGGAACTGCGCGAGGAATGGGTGGGCTCTGCGCAAGCAGTGCATCGACGTCAACATTAATTGGGATAGTCTTGTATTGGAGTGGCTTGACGTTTTGGTTATCCGGATGTTGGACAGCAAGCTGTTGAGGAGATGGGGTAGATCCAAAAACCGAACGATCAACAGCTGCGATGTGAGTACCAGCTTGTTCACGTTGGGAAAGTGCACCATAATAAGGAGTGCTTGGAGCAGACTCATTGGTTGAATAAGAGCCGCGGCGATTCTCGAGAGCTGGGACGTCCTTTGAATGCTCAGATCGATCCGGGTAGTAACCAGCGCGAGCTCCTCCAGCGTATGGCAGCATTGTTGGGTAACCTGGGACATAACCAGGATAGGCACCGGCGAGGTATGGAAGGGCAGCTTGATAGGGATTGTAGGAACCATCAGCCAGTTGAGTAGGAGCTGCGGCCATTGGCTGTTGAGAATACAAACCCGTGGGAGCCATCAAATACTGACCCTCCGCGGTGAGGTAATACTGCATGGAAGGAATTTGAGCACCCATAGCGGCAGCAGCAGCAGATGCCATGTTGGCGTTGGGGAGTGCAAGGCCGGCGAATTGGTTCATCATTGCGCTGAGGTTCTCGCCTTGGGCTGGGGTGTGTCCTTGAGCAAATGCGGTGGGTTGAGTTTGATTCTCGCGAGGAGTGCGGATCTGAGGTTGGGCGTACATGGCGGAAGCCGGACGAGGAGGGTAGTTAGTCTCAGAATGGCTCGCAGTCTGTTGGTAAGACATGGTAATCTGAGCGATGAGATGTGAGTTGATGGTATGGATGTGGATTGACGATTGCGTTAAATGACGGGCGAGATGAGATGGGGAAGAAGGATGGAGACAAGAAAAATATTGGTGGCGGGGAGAAAACTTTGAAGGTGAATCTTTGGGGAGAGAGGGGCAGTTGAAAATTGCTCTGCCGCTCAAGTGAATAAGCGATCCCTCGCCGCTTTCCGCTTGATGGAAGAGGGGAAATGGGGGCAATGATATAGGAAAAGCCAGGTCTGACTCACTATCACAGTCTTTCGGACAAGAACAGGACGCTTTGGCTGCGGACTTTCGAAGCAATAAGCTGAAGAAGAGGTGATGGTTAGCTACTGGAATCGGCACAAAGCGAGATGTAAGGAGGCAAGCAAGCGCGGCGGCATGCAAGCATTGGAGGAAACACACCTGCTAAAAGAGTCGAGGAAAGGCGTCTTGGTCGAGTGGCACGAAGCGGACGTCGCAGAGGAAATCAGTGCGAGAGGGTTTCGAGGTGGAGAAACGAAGAAGTCAAGGCTGTGAGATGTTCAAGTAGCGAAGAGAGTGAGTCTAGAAGATAGGAAGCTATCAGGCCAGAATGGGGTTGTGTAGAGATTGTGAAGAGTTGGTTGTTGTCGAGTTGTTGGGAGGAAGAGGAGAGAGAGGACGGGCGAGCAGAAGATATGGGCGCGCTCGTGCTGGCCGGGGATGAGTTGTTGTCGTAAGGAAGCTTCGACTTGAGTGGGTGGGGGAGCGAGGAATTCTTAAAGAGGCAAGCGCGAGGTCGAGTCGCCAGTGTAAACAACCACAGGAGCAAGCGTGACTACCTCACTTGGACCTCAACTTTGAGCCCCCTCAACAGAACTCGGCTGGAAGCAACTCACAGGCCGCCGGCAGACTTCCCCTTTTCTTCCTTCGTTCTTTCCTTCAATGTGTTGACAATGAATAATTGATTGGTTATTACTGCCGCGGGTAGTAGAGACTGAGAGTGGTGAGAGTTGGGAACGGACAACACAACAATAAAGATATGGGATGATGGAGATGGAGATGGGATGAAGATGAGGCCTGAGCCAGCGCAAGCAGATGGATAGCGATAGCAATACCAATACTGATACTGGAGATATCCGCGTCTTTCTCTCAAGCCCAAAAGGCAAGCAGCAGAAGGGAGGTGGGACAAAGGCGGGCTTTATGTGGCAGCTTCATCGACGGCTATGCATCCTTCCCACCTGGCTCATCCAGAAAATGCATACTGCACTGCACACAATTTCTGGAGGCAAGGGAAGAGTGAATGAGACTTGCAGACTGACTAGCTGGCCCAGTACCAGTGTACCAGTCCCGCTCGCAGCATTATCCCATTGAGGCGGAAATTGTTTCTGGAAACGCAACAATGAGGAGCCCAGTGCTTATCCCCATCCCTTGGGAAACCTCTGCGAACGCACCCACCACACCACCAATGAAAAGTCCCCATCCGACATCCGGCTCTTTTCCTGGGGAACCTAGGAAAAGCGATATCTGACAAATAAGTGGCAGCCAAAGTGAGACAAGCAGCGGATCTTAGCTGACCATATCCTGCCAGGCATGTCTCGCATCTCCATCACCTGAATGGCTCCATCTTGTTTGGTGGTCGCTGCCGGCACCTACCGCTCTCTTGCGTTTGGTCCCCTTATTGGCATCCATCATCCCCGCAAGTCATGCTTACAAGTACTCTATCTTACGGCAAAAGCAAAACGCAACTGCAAGTGTGCGTTGCGTTGCGTTACTCCATACCCAGGAAGAAGCATGGGGATGGCATGGCCGTTGAACCCGGAGATGAGCACCGCACCCCAACAACAGAGATCATAGCGAACTTGAAGATGTGTTGTGTTAGCTTTCTCGACAAAGTAATGTGGGTAGAACGAACTCATCAGAAGGCTCGTCTCTGGTGCGAAGCAAATCCAAATCAATATTCGCTGAAGGGCTGTCTTTCTTCATGAGGAACCTCCTTGCATATCAATCCATATTCCACCGTTGAAAACACCTTCAGTTGAGGAAAAAGCAAAGTTATGCTGGATAGTTGAAGATGAAAGGAAGCACTATTGAAAGAGAAAGGACGGAAGACTCCATTCCCTCTGGTAACACACTACCTACGGTGATCTTCTACGCAATACAATTCGGTGAATAACATGCTACTATTGTAGTTCATCATCAAATTTCCTTACTATTGTCGTTGTTGAGAGCAATTCATCGTCCACCGACCTGAGCAGGGGGGACATGTGGTTGAAGTGAGGAGATGGAGGTCAAGCGATCGGAATCGGGGAATCGGTTCGGGATCATGAAGATCTTCCGAATGCCACCACGCTTTCGTCAGCAGGAAACCTACCCTACCTCCCCTAACCAACGGGATTCATCAAACCACATGGATATGTACCTCCAAATGTTAAACCCCATTCAGATATCAGTACCAAACCAACAGGTAGGTTCCTACAAGGTATCAGTAAAATCTAATCTTAATCTCACATCCCAAAATCCCCGCTCACCACGGTGTTTCGGGACTTTTACTTTTGCCAACCAAACTTAGGTACACTTCTGCATGTGCATCTGCATCGAACGAATCGAATTGGCCACCCCCTACCTCCCTGGCTTCCATGCGATTCGCAATTTACAATGTACAGTGCCTTCCCCGTCCTACAGGACAAACAAAACAAAACAAACCGATAAAACGACATCACATTACCGGTAGCGGGAACACCTCGCTATCACATCCAGTACCTGTACTGACTACCGTTGACAAGACATGAGATGATGGTTGATGGTTAAGTTGACTAGCATATCAAACATAAAAATATCGACACCACCGAGCAAACCCCGAGGCTGAAAAGAAAAACGTGGAAGATATCTCGTCATCCATCTTACAGTGCTCACTCATCTCATGTTTCCCATCTCATTCCCATCTAAATCTCTGTATGAGTACCAGACGAAGTAAGACGGTTGTAACAAGGCTCCGTCCGGGTCGGGAACCCCGCTGGCTCCGCTCTCGTCTCTGGAATGGATGCAAAGATTTCATTCATTGAATTGTGAAAGCAGTCAATTACAAATATGAAGACAAAATTGGGTGAGGTCTCCTGTCTACTCCCCGCGCTCAGAGAGTGGAAACAAATAACGTGATATAAACGCTTGATCGGTAGAGCATTATGGGTATGGATATGGTAGTTAGAGGAATCATAGTAAGTTAGTAGGTTGGTAGTTTGGTAGGATTGGACGAAGCTAGCTGGGCTGCCGGGTATATGCAGTATAGATAGTATAGATAAATCACATCAACCTCATCATCACACTCTCACGATCTCACAAAGATTTTTTGAAAATTCCATTTACCATTGACCTATCAACATAAAAAAAAGGAGGGAAAACTAAATACAGGAAAAGAGAGAGGAATTGAAATTAAGAGAAATCTATCGCCTCAACCGAAACCACAAAAAAGGGAACGCCCGCTAGTAGAGTCAGAGTTCATATCAAATTTCTTTTCCGCTTGCTTGCTTGCTATCTGTCTTTCTTTCTGTCTCTCTCTGTCTCTCTCTCTGTCCAAGAACCAAATTCCAGTTTCCCAATCAAGCGCCAAAGGAGACCAAAGGAAAATAAAAACAAGAAGGAAAAAAGGGGGAAGAACAAGGGTAATAATCAATTATAATAGCATATTCTATTTGCAAAGACCACACCACCACCACCAGTATGGGGTTTCAGTTTTAACTTGGAGAGAGAGGAGTGGAGGGGAGGGGGAAAAACACCAGTGATGGTTGAAATCTGGTAATGGTATAGACAATTCATCTCCGTTGCAAGAAGCCGGAAATGCTTTCCTGGGTTGGGTTGCTCTGCTGCCCCCTTCTGGTTCCCCCTCCACTTTCTCGTCGGGGGCGGGCGAAATTTTGGTTCTGTCTGTCTAATGAGATATTCGTTTGCTCTTCATGACCAAACGTCCTCCTGCCATGGTAGTCAGTATTTGCGTTTGCCTTGTGAAATTGTACTCAGGTCGATCCGTCGGGAGGAAATGATTCTTGCAAAGGGAAGAAAATTACTTACTTGGTATTGGTTTGCTGATCGCATTCCCTTGACGATTTCTTCCGCCTTGGTTTCAGGAATGCCACGTTCCTTGGAGATGATTTTCCCTAGGACAATGTTGACTTCTCGGGCCATGTTGGCTGCATCACCGCAGACGTAAAAGTAAGCCTTCTTTTGTAGTAATTCGTTGACTTCCTTGGCGTGCTCTTCTAATCGGTGTTGGACATAAACCTTCTTAGGCCCATCTCTTGAGAATGCGGTGATAAGCTCAAACTTGTCTCCAAGATCCTTCTTGTATTGCTGGGAATTGTGTCAGATATAATCAAGCATTTTGGTTCCCAGACTCGACTTACCTCCCACTCGGATGCGTACATGAAATCCTCCGTCTGTTTTCGGCATCCAAAGAACAGAATTGTCATACCCACATCTTCTCCATTCTTTGCTTGTTGTGCTCGCTCCTGTACGAATGCTCTAAATGGTGCAACTCCAGTACCTGGGCCAACCATAATAACTGGTTTGGATGGGTCCGAAGGTAGCTTGAAGTTTGAGTGACGAACGTGGATAGGTACATGAACACCATCATACTTGTTTCGAGGGCCAGTAATCTCATAGGTCAATCCGTGAGGATCGGGTGCTGGGTCACCGTGTTGTTTCTGTTTCAAGGCGAGCAAGTAGTTTGTAGTAACACCCTTAAGCGCATCTTCGCGACCAGCAATTTTTGTTGACTCCACAACGGCAGTAATTGAGATTTTCGTTTTCTGTACGAGTGATGATGACGAAATAGAGTAGTAACGTGGCTGGATTTTGTTGATTCCTTCAATGAAAGCAGAGAAAGGGATGTTAATCCACTTTTCAGTACCTCCAACAGTCTGTAAAGCCTGGGCAATATTAAGACATCTGCCGGCAATCTTCTCAGAAAAGTACTCCTTGTCGCTTCCGAGTTTGGCCATTTCCGCCTTGGCGTCTTCGTTGGGGGCAAATGGTGCCAAGGTGGAGATGAATTGACGAGAGACAGGGGCACAAATTTCCATATGATAACGAATGACGGCGTCAAAAGTGGTTGGTGTAGGGAATGGGACTTTCGCGGTGGAGTCTAATGGCTTGACACTGACAACACTATGTCTCTTTGGTAGTAGACCAGTAACACTAAGAAATCTGTCGACTTCCTTGCCAGAGTTGGTGGGCCAAATTGCAATGTGATCTCCAGTCTGGTAGCTGAGGTTTGAGCCACTGATATCAATTTCCATGTGGAGGCAGTTTCTGTCCTTGACGGAGAAGAGTTCATGAGATTCGGCGATGGGTGCAATGTATGGGTTGTGGGCGTTGAATGGGCCTTTAGAAGAACCTTCGAGGTGCATTTTGTTGGGTTCTCCCAAGTAGACTTCAGGGGATTCTGTGGTCAAATCTTCGCGCTCGCTGATGGCAAAGACTGGTTCATACACTGCTTCACGCTCCTCGAGACCCATCTTTTCAGACAACTCAGCCCACATGGGATCCTTCCAGGCAAGGAAATCTTCCTCCATGGTTCCGGCTCCATCATCACCCTCTCCAGCGGCTCCAATTCTGTGCGCGCCTAGCTTGGTCAATGCAGAATCGACATTTCGAACCATGGAGTTGTAGTGTTCATAAGTGTTGTTGCCGAGGCCAAAAGCCACGTACTTGAGATTTCCAAGTGGGGGGTCCGCTGATTGAGAAAAGGTAGGTTCGCCAGTGTAGATAAACTCATAGAAATCGACCGCATTATCAGTTGGTTCACCCTCTCCGTAGGTAGCCAGAATGAACATGACCACTTTGTCTTCGGGGAAAGCGTCGAGGTTTTCAAAGTCGTAGTCTTCCAAATCGGCCACCATGGTTTCCAATCCAAAGCGGCTCTTGCCTTCCTTGGCCAATCTCGAGGCATAGTCCTCTGCGGTACCGGTTTGCGAGCCATAGAAAATCACGCAGTTCTTGTTGGACTCCTCCATCTTCTCCACGATATTTCTCGTCTTCCCCGCCTTGCTGCCATTGGCGGCTGAGTAGGTCGAGGCATATGGATCCTGTACAATGCCCCAGTAGGTGCCTTTCGTGAAGTATGCAATGGTCCCCAGGCAGATGGCAGCCAGGACCACAAGATCCAGAGTGTCTAACTGCGCCATGGTTGCTGGACAGTGAGGGTGAGGCCAGATGTTGTGGCTCGAGGTGTTGACGTGGCCGAAGTAGGCAGATCACAGCTGCTGGTCGCTCGTCTCTTGTGACACTCGGCGACTCGGGGTCGTCAATCTCTGGTCAAAGTAGGGAGATGAAGATTTGAATGAGTGCGTGCAAAAGGAACACAATGCGGCGTGAAGACGATGTAATATCCTCAGTCGAGGCCGTATCTCGGCGGATCGTGGTGTGTGGATGGAAAAAGTGACAATCGTCCACGTCCGAGCTTACCGTGCAGTACAGCAGCCTCCGACAGCTGCGTTACCTAAGGATCGTGGGATGTTTAGCCTTTGCTGGATCACAGCGCCACTCGATTCACTCGTCGATAGTTGTTCAGTGGCAGTACGGAGATGGAATGGGCGGGTAATGCTAATGCTAGTGGTCCTGGTACTGCTACTGCTACTTATATACTTGGTGGTAGTCTGTCTTATCGAATCTCGCTAGATGCCCATGCCTGCTTCCTCGCTCTGAGGGCTTCGTATCGACAATTCGGCTTCGGACTCTACGGAGTAACTGACTAACTGTTGGCACTCCGAGATATCTGGTCTGCAGTCGGTCCACAAAGTCCACTGCTCGTACTATGACTTTGCTGATTCGCCTATGCTGGAATAAATGATACTGCAATGCCCAGGCTGATACATGTCACAACCACACAACTTCGGTATGGATAATTTTCAACGATTCATTTTCCACTTTGGGCCTTGGTTCTTGGACCAACTTATCCACCGTCAAGGAGGAGTTGCCCTCCATACACAAGCTTTTGGGAATTTTGGGGAGAATATCCTATCGACATATCTTGTACAAGGTACATAGATGTACTGCCTAGATCGGTGTTTGTCTAGTGTCCGTAGCTGTACTCGTACTTCTCCAAACCGAGGCCTTGCCTTCTACAATTCCTGTCGTCACCACGTCTTACGTCTCTCCCTTTTTCATCCGAGAACCTTATCTTGCCACCAAAAATACGCCGTACTAACACAGCAGTACTGTAACGGCAGTTAAATTTACCTGCAGAGGATGAGGTGTCCTTTTGAGCCACGGCCACGGCCACAACCACAGCCACGACCAGTCATGCCCTATCAGTGATCACACAAAGCATTGGGCGGCGAGTGCCACCTATCCATAGCACATATCCATGACTTGAGGCTCCGGGGACCGAAGAAATGATCGCCGGCTCGGCTGAGTTGCTGGGTTGCTCCCGAAGTCGCTGTCATCCCAGTAAAAACTGTATAGTACTCGAGTACTCGTACAGGACTGGCTAAAAGTTCCGGGACACCACCGATGCTTCTGGAATTTTGACCCTGACGATCACACCCTTCTCAGACCAGTCGATATGTGTTGGGGTGTAGAAGACAAGCGAAGGGCGTGAGGGACTTCGACATGTTGTTGCATAGCCTTCTTGCTAAGGTTGTTTAGGTTGACCACTTCGGGCAACTATTCTATTGTGGATACGGGCTTGGAAGAAAACATTTCGAGCGACTCCAATTCTCATGAGCCCCATAAATATTTCGGTATATTACAATTCATCGCGGCTCAAAAAGATCCCTCTTCTCGGCAACTTGGAAGTCTTGTTGACAAAAATAACGGGCATTCTCCGTACTTAACGGCAAGTCACCCACTATTACTCAGGATATCCGCAACCCTAAGTTCTTAGTAAGACCTTGGCCTCGAAAGTCATGATTTCCCAAGTCTAGCAAGAATAAATTCGGCCGAGGCGCCCTCTTTCACTTCACGAAATACTCTGCCATTCCCTAATTTGCGACTTATCTTGCAAAGGAAGTCTGTCAATCACATACTCCTGCAATATGCACGTAATCATTGCAGGCTTTATCCTTAGACTCCTGATGCAATCCTCAACTTCTCCTCCGATCATGGGCGGAACTACCTACCTACCTTACAGATCCAGTGACAATACATCTAATGTTCAAAGGTCATCCACAAAGGTTATGAGAGTCAAAAATCGTGTACATGAATCTTCTAAATCATCTCTATATAACCTGGACATACACTTTACTTTTGGTAAGTTACTCAACATATCACGTCATGTCTTTTTTCCTTTGCGCTTGGCCAAGTCCAATCGCAGGATTGCGCATTCGGTGACAACAAACGTCTCTCCTGAACACTCTCGCTCGGTTCCTGGAACCCCTTTATTTAGAAGTCTCGAAACCACATTGCGTGGGGTCGAGGCCCACCAATAGTTGCAAGTATTACTTATTATTACTCCAAACCGTGCCAGAGCCAGGCGTGCATGAGATGAAGTCTTTTGCTGAGGGAAATTTCTTTTTATGCCATAGCATGCCAAAAAAGGTGTGCAGAGCTGCCAAGGGCAAGTGCTCACCGCAGCGATCATTGGCTGTGCGGACAGCAGCCGACGATGCTTGGGCGTCAGAACATTTGCCAGGCCAGGTACCAGACTTCAGAGGAGGCTACGGAGTAGAGAGCACCGCATATGCTCTGTCTCTGCTCTGCTTCGTCGTTTGCAAGATCCAGTACTTGTACCACCTCCGTACGCTGAACGATGCCCACGGTGCTATTCCGTCTTCGACTGTTTCTCGCGCGCGGCGATGGAGAAGCTCTGAGTGCCGGCCATCCCACGACCTATTAATTGAGTGTACGAGTCCTCGGTAACGATGGGCAAGTGTGAGTCCCCCGTTTGCTTCCCATCATCGCCATCGCCTTTCCTTTGCCGATGTGCCAGTCGTAGCTTAGCATTGCCCTCACGGCCGCCCGCCAGCCCCAACCTCGCAGGTGCTTGCCAGCCCAGCGCTGCTCCAAGGGATGAGACTGCAGCGGGAGCTCAAATAGAACGGCGAGAGTCGGAGACAGCTGGAGCCAGAGCCAAAGAAAGGCAAAGCCCAAAGCTTGAACGATTGCATTGCCACTCGCGCACTCGCAGCACCCAAGGGCCTTGAGGGACCAACCCTTTCCCTCGCCCTCAAGCAGACCTGCAGTGGTGGGCGTGACGGCGAGACGGCCAGACGCTGCGAGCGACTTGAGACGACGCTGCGTGCGTCGCGCAGCCAAAAACATGATAGCCCCCCCACGAAGCCGAACCCGTGCTAACACCGTCTCATCAGCCCAGTCGCCGGTTGAAGGTCTGAGCGATCGGTTGTCGACCGTCTTCTCGCAGTACACGCCCATTGATATCGAATTGTGGAAAAGCGAGTCCTGGAACGCGACCTTGAAACCGGCCTCGAGATCCGTAGACGGAAGAGACCACCCATCACAGTACCAACACCACCAGACCTTCCCGGCGGGACTCGCGCCGAATTCCTCGTCAGACCTCCAACTCCAACCTACGAATTTGTCCCCCCGTCTGTATCCGCCGGGAAGCACACTTGCAGACAAAACTCACAATCGCCAGACCAGCATTGTTCATGGCATACAGCACTCGAGGAATGGGAGTGTCGCTAGTTCCTCGTCCAGCCCGCTGAGCCCGCAGATAATTGCTGCCGTGGGAGGAGGGAAGTCTAATGCATCCAACATGGGCGATTCTGCGTTCATGTCCGCCATGTCCAGCAACATGTCCAGCGGGGGCTCCTTCAGCTCGAGTACCACTCTGGTCCCCGATCGACCATCAACAGAGCACAGCAACTATTCAACGACCCAACGGAGACTAGAACGGAAGCAAAGCGTGAAGCCTCGCAGTCACCATCACTCCAATTCGCGCCATCACAAGGATGAAGTGAAAACCGTGGGGGAATATGCCTTGCATGTATTGTTTACATCTGTCAGTTGCCAAACTCGTACCCGCTACGAGCGCTTCACTAATCCCCTCTTAGTTCATTGCACAGGCGGAAGAGAAGATCAACATGTGTATTACAGTGCCCCTCGACCCTGAGCCCCAAATAGAGCAGATATGCGGGCCCGGCGTAGATGCGACATTCGATCAGTTAATTTCGGCTTTGGGACATATCGCAAGTCAAAAACCAAAACCGCTAATCGATTCCATGATGTTATGGCGCAAGAACAAAAGTGATGCTGCAAACGAAGCTCGGACACAGCTTGCCCAGGTAGGCCCCCCTTCCTACGTCATCTAATATGTTCCTTATACTTTCAACTAGCTTCGAAGCAACAGTGTTTCTTCTTCTTCTGGTCATCCTCCTCGAAGAAATACCGAACCTCCTCACCTGACAACGGATTCAGATGGGACTAGTGCACCTTCAATTGCCGCACGTCAAGAATTAGTTGCCCAAGCTGAACGTCGTTCTGCAGCATCCATTTACATTTTGTGCCGGGTTCTGATAGAAGTCATTGGTCAAAGTACACTAACATGTATCACGCCGGATATGGAGGAGAAATTGGAGGGAATCATTTTTGGTCAACTGAAGATTGCTGACGCTGAGGCGCTCGCCAACTCCTCTCTGAAGATGGCGAATTGGCATTTGTTCAGCCAATTACTTGGTGTCATGAGTGAAATAAATTTCGATAGCGTTGCCGACCGCTTCATCAACGACCTCGAAAAATCCCAGGCCGATTTGGTTGGTAAGGGTCCAGGGAACAGAGAAATAGAGGGTAGAATGGAACTTGTCCTTGGAGGAATGAAGCACTTGCGCATCAAAACATATCCCGAAGATATATGGGACCAATCTTGCGACTTTATGATATCCCTTGGCCGCTTCTTTGATGTGTCTTCGGGCCAGCGCCTCAAATATGCTTACTGCCAAGCTTTGGAGGTTCTTTTACTACCTGTCGCGGCCACAGCTAATACGGAGTTAAACATGCCAAAATGGACAGAGGTTCTTTCAGCTATTGGCCCCCGACTTGCATCAATGTTTGTAAAGCCTAAGCATTGGGCGGTTGCTTTCCCCCTTACTGCCACACTGCTTTGCGCCTCTCCTATAGAGACTTTCTCGACTCAGTGGCTGCAGCTTGTATTGCCATTGCAGCCCAAATTTAAGGATCGATTCGCACGCCCAATTTGCCTTCAAGTAATATCCCGGCTTCTATGGACCTATCTCTATCGTTCCCAAGAATCAACCGCAGTCACGCACAAGAAGCTAGATGAAGTCATGAAGCTAGTTCTGCCACCAGGGAGAAGAACCTACCTTTCGACCGATGCATCTATTGCGGACCCACTGATTCAAATTATTCGCATTATCGGGTTCAAACACCAAGAGTATTGCTTTAGGAATATTGTATTTGCATTAATCAATGCCGACCTATTTGCTTCTAGAGAACTCAAGGATTTCAAGGTCGAGCAACTAGAGCCAGAAAAGATGGTTATTGGTATTCGAGCTTTTCTTGCCATAATGTCAGATCTAGAAAAGGGAGATCAAGGGCGACCGCCATTTCCTCAGCAGTATCAAATGACGCCAGCTTTTGAGAGACTACCAACCTCTCCTATCTTGATGTCTCCGCGACCAGTTACCTCTACAGAAATGCCAACGACGAAAGGAGAAGAGCGACTTTCGCGCCCTGTCCTCACAAACACTCTCGGCGATGTCGCAAGGGAGTATTATGCTCGATTTTGTGAGATCCTTGGAAAGATAACTATTATTTGTGACAACACCTTTGGTGGTCAAGCTGTGCTTGACGAGAAATTCAACAGTCCAGCACCAAAAACTCCAATTGCAGAAACTTTCAACTTTGGTCGTCGAGGTGGTGACGATCATCCCAGTCCATCAGAATTTAAACAAGGTTTTTACGAGCTGCTTCACGTCGCCGTTCAGGCCTTACCTCGTTGTCTGTCTTCTGATATCCCCATTAAGTCGCTGGTAAATCTCTTGTGCACTGGTACCGCACATGTACAATATAACATTGCCGAATCGTCTGCACAATCTCTCAAATCAATAGCGAGACAATCACAGGCGCAGCAAGTCACCATTGGGTTTGCGAGATTTATCTTCAATTTTGATGACAGGTATTCTACCATGTCAGAGGGCGGCATGCTTGGGCCCGGACATATCGAGAGCACCCTCAAGCTTTATGTTGAACTCCTGCAAATTTGGATTGAAGAGATCAAAAACAAGACTAGAGAGGCTGCAGACGCTTCCGGAGATGACAGTTCAGACAAGAGAGGAATGCAGCTGGATTTATCAGGTATTTGGGCTCAGATTGATGAACTCGAATCACACGGATTATTTTTCCTTTGCTCTCAATCTCGAAGAGTCCGGGCATTTGCTGTCAATGTCTTGCGCCTCATTACAGAATTCGACACCGCGCTGGGAAAGGATAATAGTCGACTGATTCATATTCTCGAGGGTGATTCCATGCATGTCATGGATTTCAATGACGAGCACTTATCAGTCGCTGAGCGCAGTAGGCTTCAGCGTGGGATGCAGAAGAGTAACTCTCAAAGCGCCTTAATCGAGCTTTGCAGCAGTGAGATATCCTACGACACGACACTTTGGTTCAAAATATTCCCAAATTTGATCAAGATTAGCTATGAGCGCTGCCCATTTGCTGTTACACTCGGGCGGGAACTTATCTGCAATCGCGTCCTCCAGATGCACAGGACTATCTCTACCCTCTCGGAAGCAACGAGAGGTCCACATTATGGTGGATCATTTGATCGCATCGAACCCGGTAGTGGTAGATTCCTTTCTCGAGCGTCAACTACGCCACCTGAGGTACTAATTGAACAATGGAAACTCTATTTGATAGTCGCATGCACAACACTTTCTGATAAAGGTGGGGCGCAACAGCTATTAGCACAAGGACAGCATGTCAGAAAAGGCTCAAAGCTCGCGCAGCCCCAGGAAAAGATCGTTTCTGCGCGGTCCCTTTTCAAGAAAATCATACCACTTCTCTCTGTGGGACCCGCTTCAATAAGGGACGCCGTAGTGGTAGCTCTTGGAGCCATCAATGTCAACATATTCAAAACTTTGTTGGAAGAGTTGCAAGACGCGGTGGCACGATGTAACGACGATGCTAGAGCCCGAATACACCAAAGAACTGCAAGCAGTCCTCGTAGGAATCGTAAGACTGATCTGCTGAGAACCGAGATAACCCACGTCTACAGATTGACATCACATTTCCTCAAGGATTCCGATATTTATGAAGATGATTGGATTGTGAACAACCTTGTCCTCTACACCAAAGACCTCAAGCTCTTCCTTATGGATGGCGAGGTTCAGATGGATTGGGAGTTTCAAAAACTCCGTCGACACTACTGCGGCCTGATGGAGGAACTCTTTGAAGGAATCAATCGTACCCAAGACCCATCTCGCTGGATGACTTTTGAGTCCAGGAAATCGGCCTTCGCCTTGATGGAGGATTGGTGTGGATACTCACCCAATCAACAGCAGATCCGCCAGAGGGAAGACAGTATGAGACAGTCGATGATTGACCAGCAAAGCATTGGCGAGCGAGGTACGGTGACTGCCGCGATGGAGATTGAGAAACGCAATCTACGTACCGCTGCACTGAGCGCCATGGCTGCACTTTGTGGGGGGCCGATCAGTATTACAACCGAAAGCAAAGCCAACCTGCAATTCGATATCCGAAGGATGCTTTCCTGGATCGAAACCATATTTAGTGTTGGAAGCGACAGAATGCATGCAATAGGTCGAAGGGCACTCAAGAATTTGATTGTGCACAACAAGGAGTACTCCTATCTCTTAGACCACTCAATATCGCGATGTTACCTCGCAGATGCCTCGAAAGTTTTGGATAGTTACTTTGAGGTAGTAACGCAGGTAGTTTTGGAGAACTCCGATTACCCGATGCCATTCTGGAGATTGCTTGCGATTGGCCTCTACACCCTCGGCAGCGAAATGAGCGAAATTCGTTCTAAATCTGCCCATGTGCTGCGAGCACTCGAGGAGAGACAACAAAAAAGCTCCAAGATCCAGGATTACGATATAAGCATCTCGGATAAGACGAAGGCTGTGTACAAGCTTGCGCAATTTGAAATATCCAAGCGTCTTTCGATTCAGCACTCTGAATTGGCCTTCCTCATATTTTCAGAATTCACTCAATATTTCAAAGACCTTCAACCTGATGCCCAGCGAAACATGGTCGCTGTCATTCTTCCTTGGATTCAGATAATCGAATTGCAACTCGACCCCAACGGTGGGCCGACAGCATACTCGTATGTCTTGCTTGCAAATCTCTTTGAGATCACTATCAAGTCCAGTAGCGCTCTTCACCACGAAGTTCAGGCCTTGTGGCAAGCGCTCGCTACTGGCCCTCATGCAGGAAACGTCCAGCTTGTACTTGATTTCATCATGAATCTCTGCCTAGATCGACGCGAGCAGAACTTTGTCGAATATGCAAAGCAAATTGTTGTCTTTCTGTCGAGTACTCCGGCGGGTGTCAAGGTCGTCGAGTTCCTCTTGATGCAAATAAACCCCAAGGCAATGATACCGAATGAGAGGCGTGAGCTTGCTCCGCCTCCACTAGACACAGTCAAACTACCTTATGTAGCCGACTTGACCGAAGCTCTGCCAATGGGTGCTAAACAGGCAGGCTTCTCGTTGGGGCAGCTATCATTGATTCTACTGGTCGACCTGATGGTTTCTCCAGACCAACTGGTGGCCGAGAACGTGCCGCTACTCCTGCAGGTCGTAACAGTTCTATGGGATCACTATATTCCTCTAGTTCAAGACCAAGCCCGCGAGATGCTAATTCATCTGATGCATGAGCTAGTAGTCTCAAAGACCGATGATGAATTTACGATACCCACGAAGACGTCCATTGAGGACTTTATTGAATCTATCAGACGCCATGATCTGGCCGTTATTTGGCAGTACGAAGATAATAATGGCAAGGTTGATGATCAAGACAACAAAGTGCCGGCTGGAATGGAACTACTTACGACCGCAATGGTGAAGAATTTTGAAATTACATATCCTGGTATTCAAGAGCATTGGGGCAAATTGTCACTGACTTGGGCTACATCTTGTCCCGTCAGACATCTCGCATGCCGATCCTTTCAAATATTCCGTTGCATTCTCACCTCCCTAGACCAACAGATGCTTGCAGACATGCTAGCTAGGCTGTCAAATACCATTGCAGACGAGGATTCTGACGTCCAAACTTTCTCTATGGAAATTCTTACCACCCTCAAGACCCTCATCTGCAAGCTGGAGCCAGGTGATCTATTGAACTTTCCACAATTGTTTTGGACAACATGTGCATGCTTGGATAGTATCAATGAGCGAGAGTTCTTGGAAGCATTGAGTATGTTGGAAGTTTTAATGACGAAGTTGAACTTTTCGGACCACAATGTTCGAAAAATTCTTATGGAGGGTTGCCCCCCTAAATGGGAGGGCACTTTTGAAGGACTCCAACCTTTAGTATACAAAGGACTACGCTCCTCTGTCTGTCTCGACTTGACTTTAAAGACTCTAAATGAACTGGTCCAGCTTCCAAATGACCCTCTCATTGGAGATGGTAGCCGTTTACTGTATGCGGTTCTGGCGAATTTCCCTGGGTTCCTACATGCCATGGATCAACCAACCATCGACACGAAGAGCGCCCAGACAGCCGGCATTCTTGCTGAAGTTGCAGAAGCCTCTGGTTGCAATACCATCGCTAGAGCGCTAAGTGGATTCGCTGCTTCACGCTATCGGTCGAGTAAGGATTTCCAGTCTCAGTTGGTCTCGGCCCTTCGAGAGGCATTCTTCCCTGAGCTAGACTTTGGCGCCCTGATTTTCCTGATGGGTCTTCTGACAAACAGCATACCATTTTACAGGCTGAAGACGATGCGCATTCTATGTTCTGTCATTCCAGATATCGACATGCGAAAACCAGAAATTGCGTCACATGGTCCTGACTTGATATCACCTCTACTTAGGTTGTTGCAGACAGAATATTGTATGCAAGCTCTTGAGGTTTTGGATAAAATCATGACCATGGCCGGAACTTCTATGGACAAACATCATTTACGTATGAGCATGGCTCGGTCATCGTCAAAGGCCATTCGAAAAGAGTATGAACGCACCCAAAGCCTTTTTGGAATTCCTGAAGAATCAGGATGGTCAATTCCTGTTCCAGCAAAGCACGCCGAAACCACGAGATCCAACGTACATGCTGCGTTTTACATGTGCCAAAGCGCAGAAAATGCGAACCAAGAACCAGCAACCACCCAAGATGTTGAATTCCACGTTGACAACTTCCAATACGGGTACTTCCCAGCACCCGAACGAACCGAAACGATGATGTCTGATGAAGGACGAGTAGAAGGACATATTGGAGACTTGGTGATGCGCCTCGACAGTCTTGATGACTTCTTCGAGGATAGTTTAGGCAGTCCCACTAGTGATGGACGATCATCTCGTACAATCACTGAAGCTGGGTTCTCAGGGGATGCATTCGAGTCAGGAGCACAGTTATATGATGAGCAAACGCTGCCCATCTTACATCAGTCACTTGCACGTACCTCAAGCACCGCATCATTTCAAAATGGGTTCGCTGACAGAGTTTCGCCTGGCAGTCGTGATGCTACCTCGAACGCAATGAATCCCGGCGCTTTCAAACTCGCCACCTCCGCTCGCACCGGGCTGCACACACGAAGTATTACGTCGCCCTCCGCGCCGTCGGCTAGTTTCCAAAGTACGCTCACCACGTATCTGTCTGATGAGGAAGGGACCGATGAGGTGTTCTCGGATGGCGATGATGATCGGGTTGGTCCGTCGGGAGAGGGCTCCTTCTTCCTCGAGAGCATGATCAAACCGCTTGCTCAGGGTACTCGATCTGGGGTTCGACGGTTGACGGGTGGGAGGACGAGAGAGGGGGACAGATTCCGGGAGAGCTATCGGAGGGGGATCAGTCAGCCGCCTAGGAGTCCTCGGGTTCCGAAGGTGCCTAGTGCGTTTTTGCAGCCGAACTCTTAGAGTTGTTGGAGTCCTGGTGTGTGAGGAGATGCTGGATATGTGGAAATGTTGGATGTTGGATGTTGGATGCTGTTGAATATGAATTGAGTGATGGAGGGAGGGGAACTGATGTAACGAATATTACCTTAATTATCTTATTGCTCCTTTTTATTTTCTTCTCCCATCTTCCTACGTTTTTATGACTTTTTTATTCTTTTGATGTAGGTTTTTGTGTTTGGAGATGTGCTAAGCATTGTTCTCTTGTGGGTTGAGTGTTAAGTGGTGATTTTTTGTTTTATGTGAATGAATGAATGAATAAATGCCATTGTTTTTGAAGTTTTTCGTTTTCGATGGAAGAAAGGGGTTGAGGGGGAAGTGTATGATAGTTAGGTATGTATGGTATGTTTAGAGAATTGTAATGGGCTTACTTTCAAGAGGTTTTTTGGAGGGGTCATGTGGACTGGAAGGTGGTTGGGATTAATGGAGGGTTACCTATAGGTTAGGGAAGGCTTGTTGATTAATACAGTAATGTTGTCTTAATTGATTCTCGGTTCTTGAACCGTCTTCTTTCTTCTGTATGTATGTGTGTGTGTATATATGGGAAAGGGAGAGGGTATTAAGGGACTACTGTTTATGTAGGATGGATGATGGGTGTATGTGTTGAATAGACTGAGGGGATGCTTGTTTGGATGTAGTTAGTAGTATTGGACCCTGAGTGGTATAACTAGTTGAGCTAACTAAGGTAGCTAATAAGCTAACTAAATACCTGTCTTGAGTTGGGGGAGGGAAGGGAATAATGATGGTGTTGGTATTTGTGTGGATTGAGATTTTTTGGGAGGGGAATTTGATATCGATATCGATATCGATATCGATATCTTGTGTGTTGTGTGATGAGTAGTGTAATGTGTCATGTGTTTTTTTGGTGGAGTTTTGACGATTGGATAATGGAAATCAGAGAACTCTGGACTGGAAGGTGGTTGGGATTAATGGAGGGTTGGGGGTATGTTGAAGGTGACTTGTTTGTTCGAGAATGTGTGTGAACAGGAGGTGGAAGAAAGGGAAAAGGGAAAAGGAGGGTAAGGGGGCAGGGCTACTTGTAAAGTTATAGGATGTTGTATTTGGGATTAGGGGTTTGGAAAAGAGGGAGGAGGGAGGAGGGAGACGGTTATATGATTTAAACATATAGGTACGAAAGCTTTTTTTTAGGTAAGACGTTGTATTTTCTCAAATTTAATTTGTAAGCCTTTTCAAATGGTCTCTTAAATATGCTACTTCTAATTATTCTATACGTATATATATATAACTACCTATCTCTATATATTCCCGAGGTGCCCTTCTAATTTACCAGTCACTACCAACTCTATCCCGACCCCATCCGAAAATCCCCCGGATCACATGACCACTCCACTCCACTCCACTATCCCACCACACAATCCCTTTTCCTCCTGAAAAATTCAGATCCTCAAATAACGCATCGGCATCCAACAAAAAATGCGCCTATCAGCGCCTGCTTGGCTGTACGTCTTCCCATCCCCAGAATTTGTACACCAAATCCCAAGCTAATATCTATACAGTAGTGGTACAGCGTCTCACTCGTATACATCTGCGATTCATGAGAAGATCCTCGGTTCGATTCCGAGAGTGGGCATTAGCCAGTTTTCTAATTATTTTGAATTTTTTTTGGGTGTTTTATGGAGGGAGTGGAGGAAATGGAAGGGTTGGTGGTTTTTGTGAAGTGGTTTGAGGGGAGGGGATGGCGGGGTGAATGTTGCGTTAATTAAGCTTTGTGAGGTAGAGTATACTTTTGCTATGAGTTTCTCTAGGGTACGTGAAGCTACAATGATATTGTTTTAAAAGGCAGTCGATTAATACTCTTTTATGTTACTTTGCAAGTATTCACTTTCACTTTGAGATGAGTTTTCTAGAGAATTCACCACCGTGTTATTTCCTTCTTTTTTTAGGCGTTGATTCAAGGTTGCATAGAAAGAGAGTGGGATGAAACTTGGCGTTGTTCTTGGCTCCCGTTCATGCCCGTTGGTTCGTATCTGCCAGTCATTTTGAGTTTGAGGCTGATAATGGGCTCGGGATGAACCTCAATTTGAGTGGTCCAAGTATCACTAAGTAATTGTTTTTGATAGACTAGCCCTACCTAGGACCTATTCAACCCATTCACTTACCAAGTATTTCTAACGATGCTGGATAGAAGGGTTTCGCTTTTGGCTTTGTCAATATCTACTTAGTTGTACCTCCCTCCCTTCCCTCACAATCCAATAAGCGCCGCTGGCAAGAAAATCGATTGGCGCATGTGATGATGACGTGGAGAGGAGCCGATGGCGGATGGAAGAACAAACTCCAACGCAAGCCCACGCCCCACTGCATATTTTTGATTCTTGTCCTACGACACTAAATCCCTTCTTGCATTTGCATTTGCATTCCTTCCTTTTTCGCGCGAGAAAAACGTAAGCTTGAGCTTCTAGATTGTCCGACTCTTCTTGCAGCAGTGCGACAGCGACCCGGCGGCACCGACGCGACCGTACAACATTGTTGACGTAGACGTGCTTTGGTTGCTTGTGTCGAGCGATCATGTTTCGAGAAAGTCGAAGTCTACATGTCTTTTGGTTTTCTTTGGCAGCATCTGATTCTGATCGCTTCGTTTCGTCCGCATCATGGTTTTGAACGCGGAATCGTCTGTGTATCTTCATCTTCTGCAGAATGTGGCTCTGATCCTACTTGCGGCTCTCTTCACTCCTTTTTGTACTTTTGTTGCTTCTCTGAGCTGGTTCGTCTCGCCCCTTTTGAAGGACTTGAAACATATTAAGCATCATCGTCGATGGCGGGAGAAATCTTCTTCGACGTTTACACCGAGGACGGTGTTGATCACGGGGGTGGGAATGACAAAGGGACTTACTCTTGCAAGAGCCTTTTACCGCGCCGGTCATCGGGTTTTGGGTGCGGACTTTGAGCCTTATTATATTCCCGTCACAGGACGTTTTTCGTCTGCGATCGAGAAGTTTTATCGTCTTTCGTCTGCGACGGCTACTTCTGCGAATGGATCTGCAAGTTACATTCAGGATTTGGTTGATATCATCACCGAAGAGAATGTGGAACTGTGGGTAAGCTGCTCCTGTGCTGAGTCTGCAGTATCAGATGGCGAAGCAGCCGAGACGATTGAAAAGGAGACCAAGTGCAAGGCAATCCAATTTGACCATGCCTTGACGGAAACACTTCATGAAAACCACTCTTTCATAGCACACACCAAAGACCTAGGCCTCAATGTTCCTACGACTCATCTCGTGACTTCCGAGACTGAAGCTCTAAGTGTTCTCTACCCATCCGCTCGTTCCTCTCCTCGCTTGGAGAAATCGACCATGTTAGGAGATCAGAAATACATCATGAAGCCAGTAGGAAAAATTGACACCATCCGTGGAGACATGACACTCCTTCCCCTTCCCTCTCTTAGAGAGACAGAAGCTCATGTCCATCGTCTGAACCCCACGCCCTTCCGACCTTTCGTCTTGCAACAATTCATCTACGGCCCAGAATACTGCACCCACGCACTTCTCCTCAAAGGGAAAATCAAAGCCTTCGTTGCCTCTCCATCCGCAGATCTACTCATGCACTACGTCCCACTTCCCACATCCAGCGCCCTCTCCCTGGCCATGTACCACTACACCAGTATCTACGCACGCAAAACCCGACCGCTGATGACCGGGCATTTCTCTCTCGATTTCCTGGTCCCAGAACATATCGCGGCCAAAGCAGAGCAGATATTCGGCCCCACAGAAGCCCAGATTGAAGATCTAATCCAGGAGTTATACCCCATCGAATGCAACCCGCGCGCCAACACAGCCGTCGTCCTCTTCAAAGACGAATCCGAAGACCTCTCCGAAACCTACCTCTCAGTCCTCGACCCACCCTCCGCTCTCCCTCCCGACCTCAACCATCGCGATGCCATGAAACTCATTGTCCCCAAGCCTTCTATCCTCGGGTACTACTTCCTCAACCACGATGTCGTCGTCTTGTTCCTCCTCCCCGTTTACGAGTGTCTCCGTAGACGCATCGGGGTTCTGGATGTCCTGGGGAGGTGGAGTGAGGGGGTTGGTCATGTGCTTTTTTGGCGCGAGGCGAATTTTGAGAGCTGGGATGTGTGGCCGTGGTGGTGGGGGATTGTGGGATATTGGCCGTTGAGGTGGGCGGTTTGTGTGTGGGAGGGACGGTGGTGGGGGAGGTGTAATGTTAGTACTAGGAAGTTGTTTGAGTTTTAGATTGGAGGGATTGGGTGTGAGAGGGATTTTGAGGGGATATTGAGAATAGATGGTAGATACTCCTGGGTGCGGAAATTTCGGGGTTTTGCAAGATAGATAGAGAGAGATGTCTTTTAGTTTCCTTGAGTGGGAGGAGGGAATTACAGTTCTAAACTAGATTTGTTGTATTCCAGGTCTCTTTATATACTATGGGTAAATGTGCTCATACCCTACCCCTTGTCTAACAGCTAGGAAGACTTCACTATCACTTCTCGAATTTGAAGACTGGGGTTTAATTAGAGATGCATTATCCTGTAGTATTATCCATGCCGCTACTGGCTCGTAGAGCTTGTATCGTCTACGGAGGATTCAAATCCACGCGCGGAAGAAAGCCAATTTAGATCCTGAGAATGAGCGAAAGTGACGATCTTAGGGATCATTTTGATTGTTCTGATTGAATTGCGGAGATTAGTAAGGTATAGGGGGTAGGTGTTTTCTTTCTTTTTGTTCTTTTTTCTTCTTTTTTCTTCTTGAACATTTCCGCATGGTATCACTACGATACTCTCTCAATACAACTAAACCTATAGCTATTAACCTACAATAACACAACAACAAGCGAACCTCACCACACCCCATAACCAAAGACAGGGTCCTCCAAAATTCAACCTAGCAAAACAAAAACACACTCGTCACTTCCTCCCACTCGCACCAATTGGGCATCCATACATCCATACATCCACACCACAGCACAACATACCATACCCAACCCAACCCAGCACAACATAAACTCGCTTATTTCCACCCTCCACACTCCACCCTCCTCCACATTTCCCAATCTCTGTACTAAATGACCGTATCGCCTTCGGACATTTACCAATGCCAGATCCGTGGATGGTCGTGGTGTCTCGCTTATCTTAGCTTGATCTTGTTGGGAGTTCAGGGTAAAGGGATCTGGTGGGATAAGAAGCGAGGGGCCGAGGAGGTTGTACGATATAGGTATGTACAGCACTTGGGATTGGGGAATGGGAATTGTGATACGTTGGGCTGAATGGGTGGGGTTGTTATTGGGCAGAGGATAGAGAGGGGTGGGAGGTGGGTTTTATGGCGGTTTTGCTGTTGTTTTGACAATTGGGAGATGGATGATTCGATAAAGGTTGATGGACGACTGGCTTGATTAATCTTCGTGTACCTAGGTAATCGGTAAATATATGGAGGCTGGAAATAAAATTCCCCATCTCCTTAACCCCCCTATTCAAAGCCTCCCATCCATCTCCCTACCAACAAAACCCTAAACCCTATTTTCAATAACCGCCTTGCACTACCTGTACCTAAATAATCATTTACCAAACAACCTTCCCAACACTACTGTATATCTATAAATACCACGGAGAATTTCCTTTTTTTCTTTTGCCTGTAGCTTTACAAGGGAAAAGCCCAGCCAAGCCAAGAAAACGGTTCGTTGCACAGCATTAACGCGCGCGCACGAGAAAGGTACAGTAGAACACAGGACAGGGCTTCTAGAACGGATTTTGTGTGTGGTAGAGCTGAGAAGAGTTTATGCAGACGTCTAATGGGGCAATGGAGTGCGAGGTTGGATAGTGGGTTGTACGCGATGTTGATGTTTTTATATCTTTTTCTCCGCGTTTTTGAAGATTTGGGGGTCTGGACTTGGGGGTTTTGTGGAGTGTTGGTTTGGAGTGTTGGGAGGGTCGGAGATTATGCGGTAGGTAGGTAGGTAGGTAGGTAGGTGTGAGATATCTTGATGTGCTGTTGTGTATCTGATGGATAATGGATAATGGATACAAGATTTGGGAGGTATGAGAGCTGCTCAGCTCTCTGAGTCGGGAGTGAGTCTATATGGCAAGAATGGGCTTACATCATTTCTGTACGTAGGTAGTACCTTGGCCTTTTATATAGGTATTAGTAAATATGCTTTTGGTGGCCAAATGCTGCCTGATATATTTCCGCGTGCGTAGGTAGTAAGCGGCTAAGAGATAAACTTTGACAGTGTAAGTATGCTTTTATGTTGTTGTTTCATGTTTTTCTTTTTCTTTTCGCCCCACTGTTCTCAGACCCTCTTGTTGGATTTCTAAGAGTTCTGAGTGAATCAATTTCCTTAGGTCGATATTGATGTTAGTGAATAAGTCGTTGAGAGCCACACCTAGCCATGTGTGGGTGGAGTATGAGGGGAAGGGAGCTATGGCCAACTCTTGCGGCGGCGAGCTCTTACCGAGCTATGTACCCGGTAGGTAGCATCTCCTTCTCCACACTGCAGCCTTATTGACTTCCAATGATCAACGCCACACTATTCACTCCAACAAGTGGTAATGAAGGGAGGCATGAGTTCTCGGTGTGACGCATCTCCCTCGTTAGAGATTTGACAAGTCATACAATATTCCACAAGGTACAAGTAGGGTACCTTCACTCTCTTTCATCCAATAGCCGGGTCCAGGTACCCGTGCCAGCTATAGTTCTCCTCGTACCTACTCTGCCTAACCGCTTCCCCCTCTTTGCCCCTCAACAATCCATCTCTCTGTCAGCCTGTCACCCCCCAAAAATCTCCTTTACCGAATAGCTGCATTTGGCTATTGCTTAGGGAAAGTTCAGCCTCGTCTTTGGCTTCCTGCAGGGGCATCTAGGCGGCCGTCAGCTTTGCCAATCCAGGTACTCCGTACTTGCTTCCTCACTGCAGCCCAACCGGCCAACACAGCTTGTAGCATTGCGGCGTTGCAGCTTACCACAGTTCCAGATCCAGATTCGAGAGCACTACTGCTGTCATTGCCTGTCATTGCCACTGCCACACCACTACCGCAAACCCGAGATCTCCATCCCTCCCTCCACTCCCATACTAATACTACTCCCGCTAAGCTCCTCCTGTATCTCTTCCCCAGACGCTCCTGTCTGCTGCCCGCCTGCCTGCTGCATCGTCACACCGAGTCGGCGTCCGCGAACGCAATCAAGGGGATTCGCAGATTGCGCCCTACCCCAACCCTTCTCTGTTCTCTTTAAAAGGCTGTCCCGCGCCTGCATCTCGTCCTCCTCTTCGCTGCTCATCTCCCGTTGACACACTGATCACAGCTTGCGAATACAAGGTGTGTCGGCTGATCGCTTTTCTTTCTCTTTCATCTCCCTCGACCTGCCTGGTGATTGGAACGGTATCAGATGTTACACGCTGAAGAAAATCCCCGTTCGTGCCTTTCACTGCCAACTGTCACCCGCTCCGTTCTCGGATTCACTGCGCATATCCGTCCAGTTTGTGCTGATACTAAGTATTGAAGTGATAGGACCCAGCTATCAATACCGTCAAACTACCTCCGAGATCTGCAACCCGAGCCTTGCTGGCGGTGTGGGATACAGCGTTGGCCCGGCCTACAAGGTCTTTGCAACTCCCGGATCGTCGGAATTCCTTCTGTCCTACACAACATTACTTTGATCGCTGTCATGGATACCCCGAGTACCAATCAAAGCGAGCAGGTGACGGAGAGAGAAGAAGGCACACCCATCTCCGGCGAAGCCACTTCAGCCACGCAAGTCGAAAAGGTCAAACCACCGTCCAAATCGAATAAATCGGAATCAAAGACTCAAAAGATGGACGAGTCGACCAAGAAGTGTGGCAAGAGCAAGTCGAAGTCGAAGAAAGCCAAAGAGGTTGTAGAGAGCGAAGACGAAGATTCTGATTCCGCGAGTGAGTCCGAGGCAGGTAGCGAGACCTCGGACAGCGATTCAGAGGAAGAAGAGACTGAGAAGGAAAAGAAGAAGCGAAAGGCAAAATCGAAGAAGGCCAAGCAAAAACTGAAGAATAAGAAGAAGGCGAAATCAAAGAAGTCTAAGAAAGAGGTACTGAATGATGGAAATATATTTGAAGTCCCTCGCTAATATATATAGGTATCCTCAGATTCCTCCGACTCTGACTCTGATGATGACTCTGAATCTTCTTCACATGCTACTTCCGACCCCGAGGATGAAGATGAAGTTGCAGATCCCGCTCAGGCGGCTCAACTAGAGCAGTTACTACAACTTCAACAACAAATGCAGACGCCACAGCAGCCATCCATTCAGCAATTAGGTCTATGGCAGAAGGCTTTGCAGAGTTACGCACCACCTCCGCGAGTTGGTTCGGGCGGCAGACGTGCACTTGGAGGGGGACGCCAACAAGCCAGAAATGCTGCAATGCTCGCTGCACTTGACGCTAACCAACTCAGAAAGGCTAAAAAAGATAAGAAGGTCAAGAAGAAGCGTGCGAGTAAATTAGAATACAAGAGAGTTGATCAGCTTTGGGACAGTACCATCCACAATTACAAACTCACTGATACGGCGGAAGATGAGGAGAGTTCTGAGTATGACCAATACCTCTTCAACGTTCGACGTACCTTTGATTGGGAGGGTAAATACAAGGTAAGAAGGCACTTTCCCCGACTACATGACTATGACTGACTTTTGAAGGCTACTGTGGTTGATATTAAGAGCAAATTGCTGAAGGAAGCATTGAACGAAGTTATGGATGGTGTCAAAGGTGTCAGCTTGGTCGAGGAAACTCCCACAGTCGATCCAAATTTGTTATTCCTTTACCTTGAAGATTTGCGACAATCATACAAGGATTTAAAAAACAAAAAGGTTACTGTTAAGAAGGGTAAGAAGAAGCAAATCAAGCGTAATGAGACCAAGCGTGCCCACCTCAAGGTACTTTTGAAATATCTCGACAAGGATTATGCGTCAACCAAGAAGACTCTTTATCCGATGTTGGAGTCCGGCTTGATCACTTTCGACTTGCTCTGGGCTCTTTACAAACCCAATACTCTCGCCTATACTACTACATACGGCTCTGTTGATGAACCACGTGCTTTTAGAATTGAGCTAGCGGAGAAGGAGTATAGCTTTATGAAGGGAGAGTGGTACAGCATCGAAGGAAAATATCTGGAATATGATGGCAAGACATGGGGAATGGGTGAGTTGCTATTGTAACATTATCAAGCGGTGAATGCTAATTCTCTGATTAGGGACCATGGACGTCGACGTTCCGCAATTCAAGGGCGCGCGAAAGATCACCAGTCTCGGTTGCTACCCTCTAAAATACCACAAGAGCGAGGCGAAACTTCGCGCCGATTTGATCGAACGAGGCAAGAAATTTGTCAGCTTGCAGGGCGTCAATTATAGGAGTCATGAGGGATTGGCTTACTATAAGAAGCGAAAGCAGATTGTCAAGGTTAATATCAATGGCAGAATCATGGTTGACCCTGCGATTCATCGTCGGATATTACCAAATTATAGTGTCAGCACCGTGAAGCCAAAGGACCCTGATATCCTCGATTCGGACTCCGAAGATGATTCTGATGGTTGTGGTTGTGGCGACGAGTCATCTGATGATGGACATGGAGCTCGATTTGAACAACGAGAGAAGGTTGAAGATGATGACGAGCCGAGAGTGAAGAAGAAGGTTGTTATTGACGATAAGGATCAACCTCATATCATTGAAGTTGTTGTGGATGCTGATGGCCAGGAAATTACGGTTGAAAAGCTAGAGCCAGTTCCGAGCAAAGACTCCAAAGATACTGCTGCCGTTGCAGTCGAAGAGGACAAAAAGGTGCTTCCAGTTTTTACAGATGACGAGTATCTTATTGCTTCTCCGGTTGTACTTGGTTTTGCATTTGCGGAAAAGATGTGGCTTGAGTTTACAGTATCTGGTGTCAAGGATATTGTTTGGAACGAAGGTGCTTATGATTCTTTGGTCCTCGAAAACAACACCAAGGATATCGTCAAGGCACTTGTCGAATCACACAAATATCATCCAGCTGAGAGTATCGATGATGTTATCCAAGGTAAAGGTAAAGGTCTTGTTGCGGTTCTTCACGGTCCTCCAGGTACTGGAAAGACTCTCACGGCGGAAGGAATATCAGAATTACTCAAGTGCCCGCTTTACATGGTTTCTGCCGGAGAGTTGGGAACCGATCCTCGAACTCTTGAGGCAGAATTGCAAAAGATTCTCGATATTGCTCACGCATGGGGCGCAGTTCTTCTTCTCGACGAGGCTGATGTTTTCCTTGAGAAGCGTACGATACAGGATATTCATCGCAACGCTCTTGTCTCCATCTTCCTCCGACTTCTCGAGTACTTCCAAGGCATCTTATTCTTGACTACCAACCGAGTGGAAACGTTTGATGATGCATTCCAGAGCCGTATTCACATCGCTTTACGATATGGCGAACTCAACCCCAAGGCCAAGAAGAGTGTTTTCAAGATGTTCATCGAGCGAGTCCGTGTTTTGGAGGGTATCGCAACGATGCCTTTCACCGAGGAAGATTACACCAACCTCAGTCGACATAATCTGAATGGTCGACAGGTAAGCCTCCCTTCCTCCTCTCATATAAAATATTCCAGCACGCTAACAAGAGAATAGATCAAGAATACCATCCGAACCGCGCAAGCTCTGGCGGTTAATAAGGGCGAACCTTTGAGTATGGAACATATTAAACGTGTTCTTGATGTGTCGAATGCTTTTGATCGTGATTTGAAGGGTGGAACGGGGTTTGAGGATGCGATGCGGGGGTATTTTTAGGGTGCAGGGTGCAGGGTTTGTGATTTAGTTTTTATGCTATGCTATTATGCTATTATGAGGGATGAGAATGAATTTATGGGAATCGGATGAACTCTTTTTTTCTTTTGTGTATGTTTTCTATCTTCTTTTTTGTAAGTAAGTAGGTATATTATATTATATTGTATTTTCTGTCATTTAATTACGTAGGATACTACTTTATATCTATATTATCTACTTGTATTACTATTCATTACCTTATAGGAGGGCCCGGGGTTTTTACAACTATCGTATAACCGTTACTAATCAGCCTTCGTTCTAGGAGCGTTCCGACTTAGTAATCGTTCCGAGGGATAATTAGTATAATAGCTAATTATTATTATATATAACTATTCTACGATTATTACAACTTATAACTATTTAAAATTAGAGAATAGTTATCCTTTATAACTATATAAGAACTATCCTAGAATAATTCTAGAAGAACCCCCCTTTAGGTCTAAGAGGAATAGAGGTTATATAAATAAATATAAGTACTCGGTACTACTCTTATAAGCTTAACCTTAACGCTATATAAATTTAAGTTTTAGATTCGCTTAATCCGGATAAATTTTACCCGCGCGTGTTATAGGCGCTATCCTACGCGTTATATTACTACTAGTACGGGGGGATAGTAGTACGTAGATAACGTAGACGTAGGTAACGGTAAGGGTAAGGGTATTCTAAATCTTAGCGCCTCTCTACCTACCTAGGTACGTAACTAGGGAATAGTCTTAGAATACTCCCGGAACGCTGCTAGGATAGTCCTAGGATAGTTACTAAAAGACGGAATAATTATCTAGAGTAATAATTAATATTAAAAATAATTAAGGAATTCTTAATTATACTTAAACTATTACTAAATAGAATAGTTTTAATAGTAAAGCGTAATACAATAATTAAGGGACGGTTATCTTTTACTAATACTTATATTTTTTCAATTATTATATCACGGTTATACGACGGTTGTAAAAACCCCGGGCCCTCCTATAAGGTGTAGTTTCTTGTTTCTTCCTTTTCTTAAGAATTCCCTACCCCTCTTTCTTTCTATTCTCTAAAGAGATGTTTATGAGAATAGTAAAGGATATATAAAGTACTCTATTCGAGTCCGTAGGTAATACGAAACTCTAACGCTATGCTCCCAATAATAACATACCACGCACAAGAAACCCAAAAGACGCCTGCCTGCCCAGAGCTCGCTAAACCGCAACCAAAAAAAGGTGACAGAGCGAGAGAGAAAGCATATCCTCCCAGGCCCCTTAGCCCTAACCCTTCCCCAAAACAGGCAAATCCTGAAACGAAACATTCTTCCTCGGCGCCCCCTCCCTCACCACATTCGGCGCAAGCGAAGACCTCTGAACACCCAGCTGATTCTCCCCCCTCTCCTTCTCCACAAACGGATTCCCCTCCCCCTCCCCCTCCATTGGATGCTTCTCCAACTTGAATTCTTCCACCACAGGACGCATTCCACCCACGTCCACGGGGCCATCGAAATCCGGGACATCCCACCAATGGCCGGACCGTCGATGGCATGTCGCAGGTTTCGTAAGGTGTGCTGAATCCCCCCCGGCTAATCGCTCAGCCATCTCCTCGTCCCTTCGTTGGTACGCGACGCGCGAGTCTTGATACATCTCTGCTCTGGTTCGTCCCGGACCGCGGTTTGCGCGGACGCCTCCCACGGGATCACAGGCCGTCCAGAATTTGAAACTTCCCCAGAAGGTACCGTCGGTGCTGGGGATGTGTTTCCAGGGCTTTTCTCGGGTGGAGAATAACCAGGAGTCGACTGCTGCTTGGGAGGAGATGAAGATGGTCGAAACGCATGTCAAGGCAAAAGGGGGGTCGATTGCGAACTTGTCATTGTACTGAATAACGTGGGCTACAAATGGCACAATCCACATCCCCATATATACCAATGGGTAGATGAACAAGAAACGGAGTTGGCGACGAATCTTCTCGCGGGTTCGGCGCATTTCTACATCCGCTAGGTTTGAGCCATGAGAGTTTACGAGTTCCAACCGATGTACAGGAGTGGGACATCTACTTCTTCCTTCCGGACCATGACGAAGTGCTGTAGTCATGTCGATGATCGAAGGTCGGCTGCTGATAGGCGGAGAAAATTGCCGGACAAAATGGTCTCGCCAGGAGGTCGTACTTGGAGGTTTTGTCATGGGTGGTGAAGGGTCTTTAGATATTCCATTTCGAGACGAGTCAGGCATGGTTGGATATTGAGGAGCTGGCAATGGTTCAGGGGCATCAATTGAATCTCTGTCCGATACAAAAGCCAGAGGGGGCGTCGTTGGCGCATGAAGAGGACTGTTCTTGGCGACAAAACTTGCCCACATGAAGCGATGGGTGGCGATATGTATGCCTTCGTGTCGTTGTGAGCGGAGTGAGGGATGGGATGGCTGTTTACGGAGGTCCTTTTCGCTTTTCGAGTCCTGCTCAGGCTCCGGTATCAAGCCATGACATGCGAGTGTCGGGGTTGGTGGAGGATTATGTGGTCGTGGAGTCCTCTGCATCGCTTCTGCCTCTGCTGAATCCATCGAGTCGGTATTGGGAACTGGGGGATTTCCACCTTTTCGTGTGAACCCGTCGAACTTGTACCGAACGTAAAAGTAAATTGAAACGTAGATGACCAAAATAATGATAAAAATTACGTATCGTGGAATCCAACCCAAGGCAAGTCGGTACCAGAATGGGCGAACCGGGAGATAGCAAAAAGTGCCTTCTACCACATACGAATTGTGGTTGTTGATGAAAGCTGATGCTGCCATCAGGAGTGGAAGGATAATCCAAGCACAATATGCATAATATCGATAGGGATAAAGTCCACCTTCTCCCCTGGTAACTCGTGGTTTCCAAATATACAATGCGGTATGAAGTGCAATTTGAAGAACAGCAAAATCTTAAGAAAATTAACAATCTCTTTTTTCAACACGATCAATCAATAAACATACCCGATGCTTCAATTCCAATGGAAACAAAGAAGCCGTTGACCTGACAAAACGCGTGCTCACTAGCAATAGGCCCTTGAGCGAAGACGACAATCGGATACATCATAAACCATAATGCTTTGAACATGTCACTTTGAATTAGAAGCATAATCAGACTATTTGAAAATTAGAAACTTTCTTTGCGTTTGGGAGGAAATGCACTTCACATACTCATGTCTGAAGCTCCTCCTCATTCTCACAAACCAAAAAAAGGCTAGAATGGACGAGGCGACGCTGACGGCGGAGAATGTCAGGGCGAGATATTGCAGTATGACCCTCTCCTCATTCTTCAAGTTGATGGTTGTCCCGGTACTGTTGTCGCCAAGAGCACGGAATTTAATGAGTTGAGGCTGGACATCCGCTACATTTGACGCCATAACTGATGGCGAAAAAGGTGGCATTTTGGGAGAAGATTTCAACACAACCTTGGGAGTCTCTGCAATTCAGATAACCAATCGTGGATGGCAAGATAAGGACGGCGCGTTCTATGGTGGTAGTCTTTCAAATCTTTGAGTCGTTCTTTCCCAATCCAGCATTTTCATCAACTCGCGCAATGGGGTCAAAATCTTTAGAAGATGAATCTCGCGTCCGTGAGTGCGAGAAGAAGTTATGAGGAAATTGACCCTTTTTCGAGTTCCAAGTTTTCCAAGATATTTTGAGGCTTGTGGGATGAGTGCGTTGTCGATGCGCAGCCGGCGTCTAGTGCGGGTTTTTTTTGGTGATGAACCTCCGTCTTGAGTTTTGACGGTAAATGAAAGGGTAGGTTGAAGCGCGCGGTGAGTTGGGCAGCAGGATGAGCAACACTCGTGGATCGCGGGGAATTTCGGTTACAAAGGAATTGGATTGGATTGGAAAATAAGTGGACGACGAGAAGGGAGAAGATAGGAGGGAGAGAACGGGAAATGGTTGGTTTTACATCAAGCAATAATAGGCTGGGCCAGCAGGCTCAAGCTCAGGCTCGTCGCTCAGGTTCAGCAGCCGCACACACACACACACATACACACACACACACACACACACACACACACACACACACACACCGACCAAGTCAAAGATCACACATCACACTCCCTGTTGGGTGGGCCACCGGAGAAGTTTTGAAGCGTGCATTTGCTTGACAACGGACACGAGACATGATGGAAAGTGCAAGGGGGAGCCAGTCAGAGGGAGAGTGGCAGACGCAGGCGCAGATGCAGATGGTTGCCGTGGAAGCAGGAGGCAGCAGAAGGCAGCAGTGATAGTAGCAACGGGAGCTCCAATGAGTTGGTACAGAGTCGAGGGTGCCCCGCGTTATTTATTAGAGCATTCGCATTTTCACTTCTCGCGTGTCGAAGCCTATCACGCCCTAGACAGTCCCCTCCGTACCCGTCTACCCGCCTCTAGTCTAGGCATGGTCACAGCGTGTCGGCCCCCTAAGCCCAAAGACCAGCCCAGCCAAAATCACAAATGATACCCTGGGGGAGCGCGTAGGACGCAACTAGCGCTGTCGTGTTTTCGAATTGCGCCATGGTGGTTGGTGATGGTGGTCATGGCCTCCGTTCGTTACTCAGGGCAAGAATCCCGACATCGTGGACGACGCCTGGCCATCGATGTTTTTCTTTGAGAGGGAGCACAAGCTTGGAGCAGACTTTGGCCAGTCCAGAATCTCCGTAGGTATCTCCAAGTAGCTTCGGGATTCCAGCATGAATCCAGGAGGGTTGGACCGTTGGACAGAACTCTGCCAGCTTGGAAGCCTGATGTAAAGATGGGCGATATACACAACGGATGATGTCTCGAACCGGTAGAGCAGATCATTATTGCATGTGGAAAGGCTACAAAGTATAAAAACGAAAAGAGAAAAACAAACATTAATCAACAGGGATCGCATCATCATGGTCCGGGATCGCACGGGTGCACGGGTGCCGTAGGGTAAGGTAAGCACATACCAGCACCCGACACATCAAATCTATTCTCCGGACGCGGGGAAGCTCACTTCCTGGTGCTTCCCTTTCATCCTCTATGAAAAGATTATGGAGGCGCCACTCGAGCTCTCATCCTCGATCTAGTCACATCTTCGCATATCCAAGTATCCTCGGATCCCCACCCCCCAAAGACAAACCCAGTCTTCACCACCTTACCTCCCTTTCCCGCCAACGCGCAAAGAGACTTCAGCCACCGCTCCCCTCATCCCCCTTCAAGCGGTGAGCACGCGGCAATCGTACCGAACTGGATACTCGGCGGGGAAGGCATCAACCATTTCCAGGCGAGCCACGGCAGTGCTCGGTACAGACTCCGTACTCGTCCCCAAAAACTCATGTACTGTACACTCCGTCTGTACGGTTTAAAGCGAAAAAAAGACCTCACCGACAATCCACAAAAAAACAGAGGTTGCGCGCCCCCGTGGTAGTAAAAGACGCAAGAAATCTCCATATCCATATCCCACCCTCATGCGCCCCGTCCTTGGGAAACGGGGACCCCCAAATTCCCCATCATATGCCGCGCTGAAATGAGATGAGTGGGAGTTGGATTGTTCGGGTGCAGGTGGTGCAGATGGTGCAGTACGGGTGGAGGTAAATCCCTCACCTGATCACGGATTGTGAAGGGGAGGGGATACGGATCGAGAGATCCTGATTTTTCTGAAGATAAGACCATTTTTGTTGTTCATGCGCGAGATATACCGAGCATTGTTCACGCGAGGTGTTTTGTGTGTTTTCTTTGGGTTTGGGGTTCCAGACTTGACGGGTGCTTTAGACAAAGGTTCGGAAGGAATCGTCATGAGGCAGTAATCGATGGGTTTGTTTCGTCTGTGACTGATGATTATAGGTACTAATTCTACAGATGGACAGCCAGAAGGCCTTCAAAATAGATAATACCTGACTTTGCCCAGGTAGTATAAACAAAATATCTAAAAACCCCCACCCAAACGTAAAATCATTCCAAGGAAAAGGTCACCAATGGCTTGTACAAGACTTCTTACTATACAAAGCGCACAAATGAGGGGTACTTGTACTGTAGGAGGGGTCCCAAATAGCAACTTTACCATAGGGATAGGGCACATAACCTAGCAAAATCCCAATGCAACGAAAAAGCAGTGTAACCCCACCTTACACAAATAAGGCCAGGAGTCAAGTTGTGTTACTTTCCAAAATAGAAGCGAGGAGCTCACAAGTTACTTTTGTGAAGTACATCTGCACACAATGCAGAAACTGAGAAACATATGTCAGCCGCCAAAAGCAGACAAGACCCAGGCTACGTGATGGAGTTTTTGAATCATCATAACTTCGTGATACTGTAAGTCATCTAATAATTAGAGCAAATTAGAGCATCGCCTCTCTTAACAACGGCGCAACCTGCTTCCTACTATTCTCCGTCTTCTCCTGCACCCAACATCTCCTCCATCCCTCATCACCATCACCATCCAACACCCCCTCCTTCCACCCCCTCAACCCAAGTCTCTCCCTCGCATCCCTTTCAAACCTCTCCGCCACTTTCACACTCCTCGCATTCCGTGCGTATAAAAAGAGCTCCCTCATAAACCCCCCCTCGCCCTGAAACGTCGTCATAACCGCAAAAAGATCCAGCTCCCTTACATTCGAAAACTCCTCCACAGCACCCAGGAACCCCTCTTTCCCCCCGCCTTTCTCGAGGAGGAACGAGAGGTTCTTGACCGAGGCGCTGATCCCTAGGTTTACATCCCGTTCCGTCCAGGATTTATAATCTTTCCTAAAGATCTCTGCGAGACTCAAAGAATCTACATCCCCCTTCGCCCTCTCAATCTCCTCAAAATACCCCTTTCTATCAAACCCCCCCTCCCCCTTCATCAATCCCTCCAAAAACCCCACCGCCTCGCAATCCACCTCCGTCGTCTTCCCCTTATCCCCTAAATCCATCGTATCAACCACAATAGCCCCCAACGCCAGCGCCGCAACCTCCCGATCCCAATTTTCACACGACATCTCGCGAGATGACGGCCAAGAATCCAGAAAAGTCTGGACGATAAGCGACGCGCAGCTGCCTACCGTCTTGATGACCCGTCCTTCGCCTTCGGGCGAGAGAGCGAGCGCGGTGTGTTGACCCTCGTCAACGTGGTGGTCTATTACTCCTATGATGCGGTTGTTGAATGCCTGGCCTAGGGGGCCGGTGAGGAGGTTGTGGTCTACCAAAAACCACCTCGTCTTCTCCTTCTCTTCATCTTGCCCTTTCCCTTCCTCTCTATCTCCGTTTGTATCTTTTGTTTGATCTGCGGAAAGGGAGAATGGTAGGTCGCAGAGCGTAAGCAAATCCCCCACCTCGAAATTCGCATGCGAAAGGACGGGTTTGAGTTCTGGTCTCAATCGCAAATCCGTACGCTTTAGATTCGAGAGCGGGATGTAGAAACCTTTTCCTTTCCCTTTCACATTGCCATTGCCATTGCTATTGCTATTGCCATTGTCATTGCCAGTATACGTCTTCAAATACGCGAGGAGGATGGCGCTGCAGAGGGAGTCGAGATCTAATCACACATTCAATCAGAATCAGATTCCGTTCAATTCTCAAGGGTTTTGGGGGAAAGGGGGGACAGAGAGGGACTACCAGCTGATTCATTCCCAATGACGAAAGTTAAGGGTGTAGAAGAAGGGTTCTTGTGCTGGTTTTGGAGGTGGGAACGTGCGGTTTTGAGGAAGGTGTGGAGGGAGGTGCGGGGGAGTGACATTTTGTGGTGGTGGTGAGGTGAGAGGTTTGAAGGGTGTGGGTGGGGGATGGTACGAGGACATGGGTTGGCTAGGTGGGTAGGTAGGGAGGGGTATGGGTATGACGCCATTGAGGCCTTGTGGGGATGTAATGAGTGCACGCGTTGACGACTGAAAACTATGGATTGTGATTGTCTGGTATTAGTATGTGATTTTGGGGATTTTTTATGATAGATTGGTGATTGGATGACTGCAAACCTAGTACGAGTATACTATCTCCCACCTACCAACCCCACCAAAACCGCACATACCACAAACCATATATACACACTACCTCCCCACACCCCTTACCAAGAAACTTCACAACCCTTACCTCCCACCAAACCTCCCTCTAGTATCACTGCAGAACTAACCCTCTAATCATTCATCAACTATTATAAACCATTGGCACCTAATTCAAGAATCAGTCTCGGTCCCGGTAGGTATCGCTCTTAGAATACTTTATTTAAAATTAGGCGAATTTAAAACTACTAGGTAGATAACGAAGATACTACTATATCTAACGATAGTATCCAGTATTTCCTACTAAAGACTAGGTAGTCTACCTTATACTGACCATCTACTCCTTCACACCCTTAGACTTACCACCACTCATCTCAACATCCCCCTTCCCACCTCGTCCCCTATCCCTCTTCCCACCCCTCCCACTCTTTCCCCTTGCCCTTCTATCCCCCTTCCCACCACCTCTACCTCTACC